CTTTCAGCATTGAAGACAAAATGTGGTGCCAGCTCCGGATCATTTAATAGATCCAATGCCCAGTCCCACAGTGGGTGGAAATGGACATCAAATTGATGCTCTTCATTTCGGAAAGGAACTGAAATCGTTACTTTAGAAAACTAAATTAAATTCATGTTAGCGGGGTAACACCAAAACTACATAAAGGTGCAAACCGGTGTGAGATCATGGGCAGCAGCTTTCCATGCTTCACATAGCTCGGTGTGACTTTTCAATGTGAATGAATCTGGCTTCTTCCCACACCACTGAATCAGATTTATTAGTCTTGTTATCTGATCCTTGTTCAGCGCAGCCTCAAGGGCAATCTCTGCAAATTCAAAGTCAGTACGTGACCGAAAAGGAGACCAAGGCTTTGAGTTAATGATGTGGTTCTTTCTAGATGATGCACGTGTGAACTCAGAAAAGTGCTTGATGCTTGCAGCTCGGCCACTGCTTGGATGGTATTCTACTTTTATATCATCCATTTCCAGCTGTCCTACTGCATCTGACTCGGTACCAACTTGTGAGGAGGATGCTGAAACATAATAATAATCAGAACAGTGATAAAATAAATAATCATATGTACATACCAAAAACATTTGAAGGCAAATCATTATTAGCAGTAGTGTGTTCATCCTCTTGGATCAGCCATGACGAAGGCCCAGCTTCAATACAGCCATATAATCAGTACTCAAGGAGTCCGAAAAATACAAATTATGTCAACCTTGATTATGAGTAGCCCATGCAAGCTCTTTTTCTTGATTAAACCACCGTGCATTAATCATCTTAATTAGTCAGTTATTATTCTCCAATATAGTGACTCACTTTGTCTTTTCTCGCGATGGAGCTGTTTGCTCAATTCAAGGTCTTCCTTCATAGCGGCAACCTGGACCTGACAGGTCTTCATATGGGTCACCAGTCCTCGAGGCTTGAACAGATTATTGCAGGTTGGGCAGGTCTTCTTGTTGGTGTCTTTAGGCATAGTAAGTTGTGATACAGATGTTATTTGGAATGTACAGAGAGCTGGTAAAGGTCCTCGCAAGGCGTGGAAAGCATTGATGGTATCAACGATGCCTTGCGATGGCGCTTGCAATAGTGTTATGTAATCTTAGCTAATCTACACCGGTTGCATTCCTGTCATAACCGGTCTGCAATACCACTACAGCTACACCCGGCTGCAACCAAGAATACAAATCTCCGACATAGAGGGAGAGAGTGCGTGTCAATTTTGGTACTTTTAGCTCCAAATTTTGCAACTGAAAATTGAGACTTTTTATGGAAAATTTAAAACATCAGATATTGCCTATTTTAACGCATAGATTACATCCCCGTTGACAGAAATTGAATCGGCAAAAAATTTGGCCCGCTACAGAGGCGCAGTCAAAGTGTGTCGCGCACTGTAGTATTTATACCCTGGTCCAAACGGTTGTCAGGGGGGTGGTCTGCTTGTTAAGCTGTCAACCCTTCTCCAACTGGCGGAGGCAAGTGCCCAGCCTGGTCAGAGGTATTTGAAGAAGAAGTTTTGTATATAATATTAATCAACAATAGTTCCACACTATTGCTGAGCTAAAGTACTCCTCTTGACACTGGGGGCTGTGTATATGATAATTGTCTCTTCTCCCAGAGCACTACAGGGCCATCGCTAGGAGCACACCCTTCTGCTATATGGGATATTCCCAAACAATAACCCCTCAACCCTGGGGGCCGGGTTTGCACAAAGTGCGAGAGAGTAGTAAGAGCGAGTCCTAATGTAACAACCAAGAGTTAGTTACTCTGGCACACAACTCAGACAAGCAAGAGAGTAGTGAAGAGGGAGTGGTTACCCTTTAAGATGTGATCGAGTTAGTTGTGGGTGTACAACAGGAGGACTCGCTGAGAAGTCTCCTGGATCTATTGAGGTTTATATACTACTACAGTGTCTTTGTACTTATGTACTGTACAGTTGATGAAAGCAGTGGCTGATGATGTCAGAGGGCGCAGCCCGTGTGACCAGCTCCACTGCATGAGAGACTTGTAGCTAAAAGGCAGCGCAGCGCAAGAAGGTGGAGTTTGAACAAAATGGAAAGTGCCACATGGCACAGGGTGTGAAAACTACAGTAGAAAGTTAAAGGGGAGAATGAAAATTAAAGGTCCGAAAATTGTGTATCATAACACCATCTCACAATAAGTGGCTGTGTTTCAGCAGCTAAAAGAGCAGTTTACTTCGCAATTGTCATTGTCAAAACTGAAAGTATTCCGTGAAATACAAGAGGGACTTGTTGAAGCTAGAAAGCATTACAAAGTGTTAGTTTTGGTGATTCTGCACCTTTGTGCTACCTATATATTTTCATTTCCTTTCTCTATCTATTCTTCTATCATTCACTATTGATTGGTGGTTCTCTATTATTTCGCCTTTGTGGCTGCTTTGTTTACCTTTGTTTACAAAACTTCGGACAGTATTGCAGAGTCCAATGCTTCCTATTCTCTAGTTACTCACATTGGACTCTAGGTACTGTATACCTGTCATACTCTCTAATAATAAAGTTACTCACATTGGACTCTAGTTCCAGTCCCTGATTGCTCTCAGCAAGTGGCTAGACACTTCCTTCAAGCTTTGTTCTTAATACAAAGTATCATAGAAACAAGTACACTTATTACATACTCTTGGCCTGATACTCCTGCTGACTAGTACATATGTACAAATACCCTGTAGTAGTATATATACAATAAATTGGAGACTCCTCAGTGAGTCCTCCTGTTGTCTACCAACAACATACTTATTCTTACTAAGTGGAATCTACCAGCTCTAACCTTCAACCCTTTTCTGCTTGTCTGTGTGTGCACCAGAGTATACCAACTTTGGTTTTGTTACATTTTTTACCTGTCATGGTGACCATAGTCATTATCTTCTCCTTCAGGAGGTGGTGATAGTCCTGGAAAGGCTCCTCTATTTCCCCAATTACTACTATATATAACCTCGCAACTGTTGCTGCTCCCCATAGCTTTTGTAACCAACACCTATTTGGCCCCATACCCTTCTATATCTTGCTCACATATGCAGTGTATTATTTGCTCGTCCATGAGAAACCAAGTGTTCCTTGCAGAAGCTCTTGCTCCTGCAAATTGCTTGATGAATCTGTGTTGTGCAGATTCTCTGTGGATATATTTGTCACTTCCCTCATCTGCATGACAAGGAGTTATGAGTGCATCTCTGGATACCTCAAAGTTAATGTCATTATTATTTGTCTGTCACTCAATGGGCCTCCAACCATATAAGCTGTCTGTATCATCATTTGTGGACAATTGTTTGTATATTGGTTTCCAGGATCTAGCCGCTCTTGCTCCTTGTAAGAGGTTTATTTGCCTTTCAATATGTGAGTGCTTCTATTAGAGTTTTCCCCTACATTGTATAGCCTTTCTCTCCACTGAGCTACCAGCCCTTGGATATCAACACTCAATTGCACAATGTTGTCTAACAAGGCCCAGGCTTTGACCTTGACAATTCTAACAGGTTTCCTGGACTTCTTTTGCTGTAAATAGTGGATCAGTCCCCCTAGAAAAAGAGACATACTCTCTTTCTGTGAAGGCTGACCTTCTATTCCCTACTTCTATGCAACTTTCTGGATAGTCCAGGTAGTTCATTGTCCATTGATACTGGATTCCTCTAGAGTTCCTTATTGATTCATTGTTGTCTCTTGACAAACAATGATCATTTATAACAACAAACCTATTAATTAATCATTGGGCGACTGTGTTGCTATGTCCATGTTGTGATTATCTCAATCAGTGGTGTCTAGGCCCAAGCACCAATTATCACTGGCTTCTACTTTCTAGGGCTTGTTGCCTTCAAAAGTAGATTGCTGTCCGGTTTTGGCAGTCTGACTTCTGTTAGGCTGTTTTTGCTGCTTGGTAGTACTTCTTGTTGTAGTATTCATTTTATTAAATACACAATGAAATTCAAATAATTGTAAAGCTTGGGAGTGTCTCAATATTGATATTAATAGTCTCAGTTGCCTTATCAGCAAGGTATGGTTATCTAATCTAATCTAATACCTTACAAGTGATAGAAAAGCTCACAATGATTGGGAGAACCCTAGGAAACACATGACCATCCCTTGTTCAACAGCCGACCAACAGAGACAAGATTCATGAGCACCCCAGGGGTGTAGATGCAATTGCAAATGTGTAGGCAGTGTTGAGAGCCATTGAGAGCCCAGCCAATTTCTGCGGCCAGCTGGGTCGGGGGTACCTCGGTTAGCAGTCTTGATAGAGATAGAGGGATCAACAATATACAACCAGAAGACAGGGTGATCCATAATGAGGGTGGAGTCATGAAACAGATAGGTCATAACCCATAGAGAGTCACGAGATTGATCTCAGTGATGACAGAATCATTATCAATCAAGAGTGTAGCTTGTACAAAGGCGAAATAACATACCTCAGTGGTGACAGAATTGCTGAGGCTTTAGCTATGAATAGGACAGGTTTATATACTATATAGAGTGCCAATAGAGAATGCCAACAGCAGGAATTGAAACTATAATCATCAAGTTGGAACTCAACAGATTTCACTAACCCACTACATAAATTTCCTACCTTCTATATCAATAAATATATAGCCCATCATGCCTTCGGGCTTAACATGCTGGCTTTGTGATGGTATTTCAATGTCAATATGGCCTGCATGCAACAGTCTCCGATCTATTGTTTATGGCTTGGGAAAAAGTATTAAAGTATACTTGTTTCTGCAGAATCAACTATATCTGGCTATCTATCGCCTTCCTCCTCCTGAGCCGGGGTTTCAAATTGGACAGTACTCAACATGGGCGCCAAACACAAGCTATTGTCAACATTGTGCAGACGGGCATCACTTTCGCGGAGATTGAAAAGAATACGGGACGCAAGTATGCTGTGCATGGAGAACTGCAACCTGTGGTGGGAGAGGCGTGCATTAGCTATGGCCAATAGACTAGGCATTGGCAAGGTAGGGGAGGGAATATAGTAGAGGATGGACATACGAGAAAAAGAGTCTGCTATACCCAAGCTGTGTTTGTAGATAGATGTTCGGAAAGTAGTCAGAATAACTCATGCTGATCACTTGAGGAAAAGATTGAACTTGCCGGAAGAGTGGCAATTCCAATAGCATTTACAAGAGATACAACTGTCATTTCAAGTTTAATTAACCTATATAGCCTTTGAAAAACATATAGGCAAAGATCACTCACCAATAATACAACCCATGTATATCATGCTGTCCCGATAAACCACAAAGACCAACACATTCTTAGAAACACGGTAGTGCTTCGCCGTTTTATATGCAGTCAGTGAAAGAAGCACTAGAGATGTAAAGGTATTTAACACTAGTTATTGCAATCATTGCAATGCGTACTGACAGCACTCATATAGCATTATAAATGCATATTGAATAGCTATGGTCTTGTAGTTTATAAAGAAGCATTTTTTGGCGGTTGCTAGAGCGCGTTAGATGTCAGCTCAATACAGACAGAAAAGTATTTGCTCGGGCGTTACTCACAAGATCTCAGAGAGTTGGGTATTACACTTGTTAAGGTAAAAGCAACTGCCAAACAGACCTGAAGAACGCGGTATATTTGAGTTTCAGAATTGCCACTATTTTGAGAAAGGGAAGGAGAAGGAAAAGTGTTCACCACACCAGAGACAAGGAGCCACGCCAGAATTTTCTTGCTCTGTTCCCAGAATGCATAGGTCCGCAGGACAAGTAGACCTGACAGGTTTGATTGTGTTTTAGTTCTCCGGTGTTTTGCAGACTAGCTGAGGTTGTATACCTTCTGGGGCAATGATGCCTAAGATGTGGACAGCTTTGAGATTTATAAGAAGTCAACATATAACACATACTTGAAGAAAGATAACCTACTATTCCAACCATAGTTGTAGGTAATACACTTATTGCATACAGTTAGCAAATAGTTGGAGCTATGTCGCAATGAAGTTCAAGTGACTGACGTTTCTGTCTGGGTTCTGTACAATGGCTGACGTCGTGTATCAACCATCAGTGAGGAAAACACAGCAGCAGCTAAGTACGCACCGTAGATAGTCATGACAACATTGATAAATGGCAAGTAGCGCGAGAACGTGAATACAAATCGTGCAAGGTCACACTTTCGCCCCCATACCCAGCGGACCTAGCATGCCCCATCGCTGTGAGTTATGATATCTGGGATGCATGACAGGAAGTGCGGCTCACTTCCAACTCAAATGAGATGCAGTAGTCTAATATCTGGGTATATCGTCAGGTAGCTGAACCTCTTCAGAGCAAACCACTTACCCAGAATACTAGACAAGCGACTGGTGACATGATAGCGAGTTAACTCCATAGTATCAACTGTAGTACGAGAAGACATAAGTACCATTAAAGTACTATAACGGTTGCAAGAACTGATCAGTTCAAACTAGCGGGTTACATGTGGGAATCAGCCTTACATTTGTTATTTGCAACTGGGAAACGAATGTGAGGGAGTTCGTCAGTGCGGCCATGATGGCTATCTAAAGCACAAGCCTCTAGTTTAAATGCACTATACAAGGCGCTCGAGTGACTACTTGATCCCTGCCAGTTTCCGATCAGATTGATGATCATTCTGTATATAAGCATATGCTGAGAATGTCAACACTCACAAAATCTAAACGTATGAATTTCTGACACCGGACCTTGCTTCTTATCGTCCAACAAACGCCATTGATAATGTCAATGTCACGATAAACTCCCTTGCATGTGGTGTACTAGCATGGAGAAAGTATTGTTTAAGGTGTTTATGCCTGAAAAGCCTGTTGCTTCCAAAAATAAAATCTGAAATTGCGTGGGTGAGTGCTTGGACAGGAAAAGATTAGGAAAGATTCAAAGCCAGTGTAATGAAACCTGAACCTTGTTAAAGCGCTTAACGCGCAAGGTAAATATACACCTATGCCACAGCATGCTAATAGACTTGTGGGTCTGTGGGCGTAGAGAAAATGAGAGAACCGAAGTATACTTGCCATTAAAGTAGTAAGATAAGTAAAGACTCGTCTACGTACTTACTCCTATTGTACCTGACTCGCCATGATCTTAATATATACCCTGGGCTACGACCTGCCTGGTAATTGTGTATAAGCACTGGCTGATGAAGCTGAGGTAAAGATGATCAGAAAACTAATCAACCTTTCCCCCGAAAGCCCTCAAGGACATAAAACTTCACCTACGGACGGTACGGGCTCCTGAGCACTATATATATATCGCCTTTCCTATCACGTATCATGCATATATCATGTATGCTACATCAAAAATCACCGTAGACTCCGTCTGATCGGCGGCTGTGATGTCACCCAAACCTGTCGTTGTCCTCGGAACTTGATGATAATGGAGTCAGATGGATGGTGCTGTACTAGCTGTGCCACAGGAACACAGGACACGCATGATCCCCCAGTAGGCAGAAGTTGAGGCCTCGGTTAGAAGATTATTATCGATGCCATTTACAACTATAAATCGGTTTTATCAGACTCAAAATGGAAAGTTCTCACCTCGCTAACACTGCTCCAATTATCTTTGCACTCGGGCCATTCGATCGTTTGTTATTATTACTTATTGGTTGGCTGTTTTTGGGCAGTGAGAATGTCATATAGGTTGAGCATTAGGGTTAGGAGAGACCGATTACCGAGTATTGATGTTTGTAATGTGGAATTGAGAGGTGTGATGATTAAGTGGTACGGTGGTGCGATGCAAAGCACGAAGAACGATGCGTGATGACCTGACGCGTAGGGTCACACTGGATAAACGCGTGACAGCGCGTCAAGTCGTGATCTGATGTCACGCTTTTGCTCGCTGTCTTCTCCAGCGACGACGACATGTCTGACGTTGACGACAATCCTCGCCCTCTAAAAAGGCAGCGTACATTCAGCCTCAATACATCTTCTCCTCTCTCTTCTCCTCCAGATACCCCCCCTCATTCTCAGCCCCGCGCTCCAGCTCAGCCTCCAAGTCTTCCTAGTTCGTCTCTTCTTGCCCCAATCCCCACTCAAACCCTCCTCGTCTCCCTCCCTGGTATTATCGTTCATCCCCCGAATCACCCCCATCACGCCCGCTCGCTCTACGTTTCCCTGTTATCACTCCGAAGATGTTTAGCTCTGAAGACCCTGAATCCTGATGTGGAGTGTCGGGCGTGGACAGCGCTGGCTGAGGTTGGGATGAAAGTGGTTGCAGGTGGATTCAGTCAAAGTGATGATTATCCGTGGGCACGTGGAACTGAGACAGAGGTACTCTAACATCTCCTAATTTTCTTTTTCGATGTACTGACCGTGTTTAGGTCGAAAAAGCAATAGGGAAAGGGGTAAGCAATCTTCTCTTTCAGCAATAGCACGAAATTCACCCTCGTCTCTCAATCTAGCTCTTGATAGCTCAAAAGGCATGCATACCTTCTCACTCGCGAAATATAGTTGTTCACTGACATTTGTGGCGAATGCATCAGCACCCTTCTCTCCGAGCATACCGCCACCATCTCAGCCTCCTGAACGCACATTTTTCTCAATGGCAACATAACTTCAAATTCTCCCGCAGTGTCCTCCGTCGTGCTATCTCTGCTCTAAATCAGTCGGACCCTCCGCACATCGTCTACACTGCCCACCTAGCCCTCATCGAGCATCTCTCTTCTTCTACCACTCCGCAGGATATATACGCCGCGCTTGATGCTGTAAATGCGCTCCAGTCTGTGGCCATTAATAATGCGCATCCTCGAATTGTTCTACTTACTCACGTCCTCAATCTACGCATCTGTACTGCTGCAGAAATGTGGGATCGTGTTCAACTTTCACTCAGTTCAGCGGAGGGTGCGCTGGGTCTTTCGTATGATCCTGCTGCCCCCGGACCTATACCACAGCCTCAGCATGCGGCAGCACTTGGAGTGCCGACATCTGCTGATGTGACACCTAAAGCAGCTGGGACGCCTGCTCAGGAGTCTACCTTCGTATTTTTTGAGGACCCATTTGAGGTTTCAATGGCACTGCATACCCTCATGATCGGAGTAACGTTCTATACCCATGTTGGCCTTGCTTTGGAGTCTTCTCCCCGACTATCGCATCTGCATGCCTTACTAGATTCTGGCGCGTTGGAAAGGTTCCCATTAGGTATCGTTGAAGTGCGTATCCTAAGTTTGTTGCAGCCAGTGTCCTGGTATCATGCGAGACTTACACGTTGGTGGTTTACGTGTTTGATCAGGTCACATTTCCTTCTTCTCCTTCTCTATCTGTCAAAGTGACACATCCACGAGTCGTGTTCCTTCTTACATACCTCATAAGCACTACCGCAAAACGCGACCCTGTAGGCAGAAAATCTAAGCGGAAAATCTTTGCCGCTGAAGGCTTGGCCATTTGGGAGAAAGAAATACAACGGGAGCTCAAGCGTTTGTCCATCGCATTTATTTCGTATCTTCCACTGTTAAATGTGTTCATGCTGTAGTTCCGACCTGGGCTGGTGTTGCAGATGCTTACGAAATTGAACAACAAGTGGTCAGGATCAAGACAGATCTCCTCTGCGAATTGATTGCGGTGAATGTTCTCGTACATGTTTCTTCGACGAAGACACTCACAAGACAATATATGTTATCTTTACAGGTCTCCATCCAACGTAGCGAGTTTGATGCTGCAGAAGAGGTGAGTATCTCTCACCTTTATCCGTCATATTATTGATTATTTGTCATCACACTACGCAGAACCTTGCTATTCTCATAGCCCACACACGAACATATGACATCTTTCAGCTTTACGCCGCCCGTATAACGCTCCATCATGCTCACCTTGCCCACGCACTGGGGAATACAGCGCGTGCGCTTCAGTGCTACAAGGTCGCTGCCCATGTTGCGGAGAAGGGCAGCTTCGTCGCTGTTTCTGCGCGCGCAGGTGAAATTGCCCTACAAATTGGTCTCATGTATGATACACATTGTGAGGATCAAGCCAGGAGTATTGGTGAAGTAACGTCCGTAGTGGATGACAGGACAAAAACGGCAGGTCTCGAAGTAGCCAGAGTCTGTCGAAGTATGGGCGGCACTCTAGAAGCCGTCGGACAGATAATCGAGTCCGCGCTGACAACCGAAATTTTGAAATCAAAGTGCGTCCCTCGTAGTAATATATTGCGCGGTTGTTGACTACAGCTTTTTTTACTTAGACAATACCTCAAACAAGCTCTTGGTCTCGCCAGTAAAGCGCAGGAGAATCACATCCGTGCACTGATCCTTGCACTTATATCCTCGCATTATTTCCACACAGCTTCGGATCATGCACAGACGATGCTACTCACTTGCGAGCAGCTTGCGGCGGGCCTTGGCGCCGCGCCCACTAAAGCAGAAAAAGGGAAAAGTAGTAATCAAAAGGCTGATAATGTACTAGTGGATACCATTGGTAATGCGCCGCTCAGACTTTGGGTGGGCGAACGGTTTTTGGGTGCGTATCATTATTTCCTCTTTAAACGTTGGAGCTTATATATATTCCCATCTATGCAGAATTGTACAAGCGTGCTGGGAAAGACGAGCGCGTGAAGAAGCAGCTTGTCGCGAATCGACATTTGTTACATGCTACACAATTGCTTGTTCAGCGGGGATCCCGTGCCTTCGGTTGATTTCGAGATCATAATGCATTTTGTTGCTAAATGTGCATGTAGTAGCGCCAACTTCTTGGACTTGCGAGTGATACAGCACCTAGTTCTATACATTTACTCACTCATTCATTCTTATCACTCCAATTCAAGAATGGTTAGACAGAAGCTCGCATTTTGATATTTGAGCGTTATACAGAAGTACTGTAATCGTACAAAAGGGTTCTCAACACGTAGAACAGGTGTGTTCTGTCCCCGCCTTGTAGAAAAGTATTTAACAGTGTAGTAAGCGAGGGGATAGTAAGCGGCAGATAGCATCTCGCGTACAGGGCAAAAGAGTGACGGTAATAAACGATTGTGAGCAATTAGTCCTGAAATCCTGTAGCTGCGTATGGCACAAGAACAGTAATTAGTTGGCGTTGTGCTGATGGTGTCATACGATACGGGTCAAATATTCCTGTAGTAAAGTATCCCTCGGACATGAAGTGATGGCCTAAACAATTAGCTCCCAATGTTATCAGATTATACCGGCATCGTCGCTGTTGAACCTGCACAAGATCCCTCAGTTTCTAGTAGTTCCCCATCAACTATAATAGTCTTCTCGACATTGATCTGCAACTGTATATCCTGGGTTAATGAATTGGTATTAAAGAGAGAGGATTGGAGAACATACACTCCTAGTTGTGGCTATTTGACTACCGAGCATGCGCTTCTGTAGCATATCAGCAATGAGAACCTGGGTGAACTGCGAAGCTATGTGATTGAAACTTACGGAGAATCTACTGCGATTCACATTGAATGTATCAGGGAAGAGTACAGGCATTGCGTGATCACCGTGACTCGAGAAGGAGCGATCTTCTCGTAGGCGTTTGCGTGTGTTCAAGCTGCGAGGGGATTATCAGTACGATGTCCTACCGTTGATAGAGATACTTACGTGGCAAGTAAAGAGTTCGCGTAAACTGAAAAGGAAACAACATCAGCATATGCATTTGTGTACTAATGAGACACCGACGTTTTGCGATGGCAAAATGAAGCCCCAGGAAAATCAAATTATGCCGCATGCATAACCACTGACATATACGATGTTAACTCAACGACGGCTTGCATGATCCGCGATGATGCAACGTACACAGATCAAAGAAATAATCGTCACAGCGCTATGTGAAGCCAATGTATCAAGACATGTACCTCGGCTAGAATGGAGTTGCAACACGTACCATGTAATTCCTCCAGTTTCTAGCGTATACAGAACAAGAGAGTTAATTATGTGGTTCATGCTTGAAGGAAATATGAGCGGATAAAACAAGAAGAAATGATGATGAGCAACCTTTCAAAGCCAGTGCGACTCTTCTTTAAGAAGATAATCATGGTGGTTGTTATAATGAATTCAACCGACGCCGAAAGCGTAACGCCGAGAGTGAATACCCACTATGACGGGCCGATCAGTATAACTCCAACCGGAAAGCAGTGAAGTACTCACGGATGGGAACGGTTTGATGAATTCAGAGTAGCGCTTTAGTCGAATACTTAATCGGACAGGATGAGTTGGGCCAATAGATGATACAAAAGACTCACATCTCGGCGGTAGAAACTGGACGTTCGATAAGACGTTATACGAGATACATAATATAATTGTTGCACGACTCACCACAAGCAGAAACTATGTATCAAGGGCACTAATCAACAAGGATTTCAGGACGCGATGTTGTGAAGAGACTCACGAAGCCGTAGAGATGCGAGAAAAACCTAATAAAACAGTGAACATTCGAAAATACATACCTTGAGTGACAGGAAATCTTACAAGAGGTGCAGCGAGATACCATTTCTTTGTCACTGTGATATGAAATTAGTATATGCTATTGTGATTGCTTAGATCGCTAACATTTTCTAATCCGGTCTGCAAAGAAACTGGAAAACAAAAGATGAGCAACTATGGACTTAAGTGAAAAATAAAGATCCCACCAGTGAACTAAGAAAGTGATGCCAGCCTAAAAGTCTTTGAGAATAATGTAGCAAACTGGAGTGAAATAACATACCGTCACTGCTACAGAAAGCTATATCCAACCAAGATTGTTAGCAGCTAATTACAAATGAGTTAATGAGCGCAATCACCCCGAGACTCCTACATGCCATATAAGGTATGTCATGGCTACAGAATGAGAGGGTGCAGTTGAGCTTACGTTGGAATGATATCTATGTTTTCTGGCTTGTTGAAGTTCCCAACCATAGATTGCCATACTGCGACAGTAATGAGAATGGTGTGTAGCGTGTCAAGTGACCTGCATATGTTTTTAAGAAACGTGATTTGATAACTTGAGCACAATGTATGACAAACCAAACAAGGGCGACCTATAGTGAACGAATGTCAGTATATCTATATCAGATATCTAACAGTATGAACAACGCACCAGTAATTTAACACGAAGGAAGTCCGAAGGATAGACTTTGAAATATATGATGCATTGTACGAACACAACTCCAGTCAAACTAGAAAAATGGTATCAATAAAGTCAGTATTGACATGAAAGCCTAGATTTCCGAGCCACATACCAGCAACCAAAGAACGTTCCGATAAGTATGGCACCATAGGTGGTAGCAATGGTATTCACGTCGGTGACCATTATGCTCAACGAATAACTGAATAACTTGCTGAAAATGAAGTGAGAACACGGAAGGAAAGAACGAAGAGCAAAATACTCACTCGACGGCTGCTACTTGCCCGTCACATCGAAAATTTGTACGTGTTTTTTCTACGTCCTTTTATAACGGAGCGAGAGCTCAGGTCTGACGAAAGATTTGACCAGACAATGGCAGTGTGATTGAACGGAGGTTGGGGTCTTCGAGACCCGATCACATAATTTCTTCCGTCAGGAACCACTAAGCTGGCGCTGGGCGCTAGATAAAGGGTGGCGATTTACCTGTTTATGGACCAATGTATTCCAATCATGATGGCGGCATCGAAGTTCTTCGAGTTGATGAAGCCTTATCCAGCAGTCACATCAGATGATTGAATTGAAGGCCAATATTGTTGTGCAATTCTAAGCTCAAAATGCAGATCATCGTATCAGCTCCGGCATCTAGGACTTCATCAAGCTTACCAGATCCTTGCAGCATTACGGCTTCTGACTTATGTACAAAAGAGTTGCTACTGCAGCACTGATGACAGTTTACCGGCGTTGATGGGCCGAGAGGTAGAGGAGAAGTGACAAAAAAAAAAAGGTACTCTGACAATACAATTTGTCAGTGAGTACTGAAAGTAAGCCGCACCTGGCCCGTATTGCACTGTGCCAGCAGGCGCTGATTGCTGGAGACCTAGTTCGCCTCGGGCGTATTATCGAAATATCCACCGATTGAAACAGGCGCTGCAGTTATCGCTGACTTTGAAATTTTGAGTTAGAACGTGACTTGGCAAATGGGGACTCGGCGATTACATACCTTTAATTTAAATTACACCACCCTTACACAAAGCAATAAAGACCTGTCACTTTTTTTATGTTTTTATTGTGAGCCCATCTCCGTCTGGGTCCCAGTATTGTATACAGTTTGAAACGTACGTACTCTTCTAGTCAAGAAGACGTTCTATGCCGTGCAACCCTCTTTCGTACCGCTTATGAAATCCGCAGGGCGTCAACACTTCAACTACAGTTCTACCTGCATATGATATCTGACTTCCACTGCAGAATGGACGCTCAGTCTCAGAACCTCTTCAACAACCCAGTCCTCTTTTATTCGTGCTCCAGCGGTAATCATGGTTTTTTCACTTGTAGACTTATGCAAACCCACCCTGCGGCAATATCATCATTTGCCATATGGTCGATACATTGGCTTGTCGAATCCACTACAGTACGGGCTCGCAGAGACTTTGTGAACCTGAGTTTGCCTGGCTGACTTGTAGATTTGGCAATGCCTCGAAATATTTCTCCAACAATTAAGTGTCAATCGCTCTGGGTCCCTGGTGAGCAATATTTCTGGATGAGTACGAGTGTAGGACGCATTGACAGACCCCGGAAATAAGAAATTACTCCGGTCAATTTCTGCGCTTGTTTCTTTTCGGGGCCAGTACTGCTAATGACCTCTTCGTCGAGTTGACGAGCTATCATAACAATATCATAAGGCACAAGCGGCTCTCGATCAGCTCCGAGACGATCATAGTCGGTCGTATCTTACCAACGCCTCTGCGCTGGTAGTGGATAAGCCACTCGTCCATCTTCTGTTCGCGTCTGTCGACAATAGCACCTACCAAAGAACAATGGTCTGGTCCCTTTGATTGAAGTTGCCAGTGCATAAGCAACAACGATTCTTCCAGTAGGCCAATGCATAATGCACTCGCCAGCTAGAACTATAAGAAATCCAGAGAGCGCAAGACGTGGTGGGGACCGGCAAGAAAGGTCCAAGGTGCGAGAACAGACTAGCTGTCGCATGTGGCAACTTATAATCTAAAGACGACCTTCTGCGTCTTCTGGAAATAACTTGGTGTGGTACGAGAGTGAGAATTTACCGGCTTCCATTTCATCCGTTCTCATGTCCCATTTTACGGCATCATAATGCACGTGAGCCATTGCCATAACTCGATCAAAAGTTGGGCTCTGTGAGGTTAACTCGTTCGACGGTGGCGCTTTCTCGAATCATCAACGCTGTTCGCTCAACTGCATTGATATGGTAAGGTTTGGACAGTTATCAGAGTCGGGGCGGCTACTATTCGACATTCCACTCCGATTTACTAGAACCTGTTCAGCTTCCCTTCCCCACGGAGATTGTGCCTCAAGCCACTTATATCTTGGTACTCTGAAGTCGTGACAGCAGCTTACGGCGGGATCCATCAGAAATTCTGCGATATTCGCTGTTTTCGAGAAGCAATGACGTTCACCCGCGTTCTTTCGAGATATCATCCAACCAAACGAACTTAACTCAATACGCAGCCGATCTACGATACCGACCACAACTCGTCTTTCTCGATGTTTTTGTAAGAAAGCATGTGCAAGTGAGACCACCATATAATCGTCACGAATTTTACTATTTGGACATCTTTACTGCGGTGTTTCCTCTCCCACGCTTCCTGCGGCCTCAGACGATTCTTCAACTTCGAGGAATCCACAGGGATCAAGCCGGCCGTGCTTTATCCACCAGACTCTCGTGGGCAAAGTTTAGAAGAGCTCTATCGCACGAGATTGGACAAGGCTCTGGTGCGGTTTAACCGGTGGATGAATCATTGTTTGTGGTGAGAACCTCACTGCCTCTACCCATTTGTCTTGACTAAAAGTACTTCACCTTTGCCACCATCACTGATGCGCTGTGTAGATCCTATAGTAGGTATGCAAAATACCTGTGTGGATATACTAAGCATGTCACATGCACAGGAGAGCGTCTTCTTATGCAAAGTAAACGCATCCCGAAAAAGTCTTAGACTCTTTTCTCAACACCGGCCGCTGAAAACCACCTCAACTTTCGCCTCATTTGTCCAGATGAGTAGCATTGCAAATTGCTCGTCACGTCAGGTTTTGGACCGTCCCGAAGTCTGCGAGTAGTAAACACTTAATTCGAGAGGTCAGTAGCATCCGCAAGGCACATTGTACGAATGTCAATTACCGCCTGTCTTTATCGTTTCAATGAAGATAAGTATGCCAGTTCTTGATGGTGTCAATATTCTTCGCTGTGAGGTCATGATACACTCATGATAGCCAGGAGAAGCTGAGAGAAGCCGCGGCCGGTGCCGTGGAGACCTATTATTACCGGACGCGCTTAGGTTCAACGTTCAACCGGCAAGCCGGTCACTCAAACTTGGTCACCTGAATGCTGTGAAACTATCGGTTCTCATAACGGTCTCCACATATAAAGCGAAGATCTGCAGGTAGAACGACAGTAGTGAAAGAAACCATCACCTACCTCAACATGCCTGGCACAACATTACCTCCTTTCCCTGACGACGTGCTCACCCACCCATTACTCGTGGTTGATTATCAGCTCATTAAAGAAGGCAACCAGCAAGAGATCGAAACGTTGTGGAAAGCGGCGACGAGTCTTGGGTTCTGGTAGTGAGTGCTTGTTCATTGCTTCGTACACTATAAAATCTTAATCCACCACGTTGTGCTATATCCTCATAGTTTGAAGAACCATGGAGCTGAACAGGAAGTGAACGATATGTTTGATATGGGGGCTGAGACAATGGCGCTGCCTTTGGATGAAAAGCTGATGTTCGAACAGGGAGACGACGGGGTCTCTTTTGGGTGAGTCATACAGCACAACCTTGTGTAGGGCTTACCTGAATAGCCCGATGTCAGATATAAGAAGGCTGGTGCTAATGCTACTGACGAAACGGGGTAAGTCACATCGTCTCATTCCAAACTTTCACCCGAATAAGCGTGTTTGAAGAAAGAACCTCGATACTGTTGAGTTCATCAATGTAGCAAAAGATGACGCCTTAGCTTATCCACAAGTCGCCCGACGTTCCTATCCACGGACAGTAAACGCTCGCATGGAATCTACTATCACGCCCTTCGTTCGCAAGTCTTTGGATGTTAATTACACCATCATGGGCGTCTTCAACGACAAGCTGGGTCTTCCTAAGGGCACAATTGCTAAATATCATGATCTTCGTGAATATAGCGGCAGCGAGGCAAGATGCATCAAGAACCCTCCCATGCCTGGAGTTTCTGCCGCGAAAGTCGCAATTGGGGCTCACACTGACTTCGGTTCATTGGTATTAAGCATAGTAATCATATGAGAATAATTCTCACTAAAGTATTCTAATAGTCATTCCTACACAACAGACTGGGGGGTTTGCAAGTGCTTCCACCAGGACATGAAGAATGGTCATACGTCAAGGTGGGTTTGACTCACCTTCAATGAGTAATCGACTGAAAATATTCTTACCCAGCCCATCCCGGGCCACGCTATCTGCAATGTTGGAGACGCATTAGCTATTTTCAGCGGAGGTATCCTTCAATCTAACATTCATCGGGTCATGTAAGGCATTTCGTTCACCTTTCCAGATTATCCTGTTAATAAGCTGTGCAGTCCTCCTCCGGGAGCACAAGCGCACCACGAAAGATGGTCTCTTGTGTTCTTTACACGCCCAGGAAACTCGGCCTTACTTCGAGCTTTGGTGGAAGACAGCCCAGTAATTGCTGGAGCTGTTGCACAAAAACCAGAGAAGAATTTCGAGACGGGTTCTACATCGGAAGCATGGTTCGCCCGGCGGATTAAAAACCAAAGGATCAAGAATCGCACTGTAAGTCTTATCTTACTAGTGTCCCTGATTTACCTGACAGAATGCGGTTACCAGGGTCCGGAGACATGGCAAGCCAGTAGAGGCACGGAACACAAACCGACTGCCGCATGAGGCTTCAAAGATATGAACTCTTGACTTGTATATTATGAATAGGAAGCACTGTATTAGCGTTTGTGTATCGGCCTGCGTTGTAAGTGTTAGTTTATCTGTGCAATAACTATGCTTTCCCCGAAGCTTTAAACCATCTACGACTTCGGTGGCAAAGAAGAAGGCTTGATTTTGGGTCAACTGAGTAGTTGTTAGGAAAGTGTAGCCCTTGGTGTGTGCTATAGTAATGGCGGTGTTTCTCCTTGACCTTCCAGTTTTGCAGTTTTATAATCTTGCTTATATTTAGCCAGAATTTTGTGGGATACAAATACCGTACTCCATGCTACATCAAGGTCCAATACATGCCTCGAACCAACTTCCCACGAAGCAGGTCGAAGCCTAATTTTGGAGTATCTGGGTTCTCTTTGCGAGCACCCGGGATCCTAGTATGAGCATCACCAATCATCAAGGCACGGGGCATCATTTCTCGATTCATGGAATTTGCCATATCCTCTCCGTTTTTTGTGCGGCTCAGCATAAAATCGACGGTGTACTTGGTACTATATTGGTAAAGTGCAGTGACAGTGTGATCCTCCAGATGACTTGACTGTGCTTTTTGAAGGAAACCGTTGACTTGAAGAGGGATCGCCTAGCTTAATCGCTTCACGATCGTACGATCACTGGGAATTCAAGCTTAGTATCTGGCTGTCAGATGACGGTCGGTTTGTAATGCTCACGGTACCACAGTCAATTTGAAAGTAAGCATACGCCGTCTTATATAAAAAGAACGTCTTTTCGCTACAAACCTCACAGTTGGAGTACAGATAACGCCCGAGATCTCAATCATGCCTGAAGCAACACTCCCTCCTTTCCCTGATGATGTGCCCACCCACCCCCTCCTCATCGTTGACTACGAGCGTATAAAGGCAGGTGATCAACAAGAGATTGACATTATGTGGAAGGCAGCAACGACTCTTGGGTTTTGGTAGTAAGTAGTCACCCCTCTGTCTTCCTTGGAAGCAGACTTTGATCTGAACCTGGATTCATTAAACATTACAGTTTGGGGAACCATGGAGCTGATACACAAGTGACAAGTATGTTTGAAATGGGGGCGGAAACTATGGCTTTGTCTATGACGGAAAAGTTGCAATTTGAACAAGGAGACGATGGGCAGTCTTTTGGGTCTGTCTTCTAATGTGGTCGGAATACGCGATCCTGACTCAACCCTACTAGGTATAAGAAAGCTGGTGCTAATGCCACAGATGAAACTGGGTAATGAGGTATACTTTTATTGAGCTAAAGCCATAAATCTGATATTCCTTCGTAACCAAGAAAAACCCTCGATACCGCTGAGTTTATCAATGTGGCGAAGGACGACGTATTGGCTTACCCCAGCGTCGCTAGACGCACCTATCCACGAACTGTAAATGCTCGTATGGAGTCGACTATCACGCCTTTCGTACAAAAGTCGTTGGAAGTCAACTATACTATCTTACGTATATTCAATGACAAGCTTGGGCTTCCTGAAGGCACTCTTGCTAGACTCCACTCCCTCGACGAGTTCAGTGGAAGCGAGGCGAGGTGCATTAGGAACCCTCCTTTGCCTGGAAAGTCGTTGTCCGAGACAGTTGCTCTTGGGGCACATACAGACTTTGGCTCACTTGTATGGCAGTCTTCGATATTTTTGAGTGATTGATTTCTAAACTTGGTTTTTCTAGTCATTCCTGCACAATAAACTCGGGGGGCTGCAAGTTCTGCCACCCGGGTACGAGGAGTGGCAATATGTCAAGGTATGCCGAGCTTGCTCTTCATGAACACGTCGTGACATTATTCATCTTAGCCGATTCCTCGTCATGCCATATGTAATGTAGGGGATGCTCTGTCACTCTTCAGTGGTGGTATCCTCCAATCCAATATTCATCGCGTAGTGTGCGCTTCCTTTATTCATCATGATGATCTGTGTCTGAGTGTTTGTCGACAGCCCTCCACCAGGAGCACAGAGCCACTTCGAGAGATGGTCTCTTGTATTCTTTACGCGACCGGGAGATTCGGTTATCCTTCGAGCTTTGGTAGAAGACAGCTCTGCGATTGCCGATGCTGTAGCACAGAAGTCTGACAAAAGCTTCGAGACGGACTCGACAGCGGCCGCTTGGTTTGCTCGACGAGTCAAGAATCAGAGGATTAAGAATCGTACTGTGGGTGTAACAGTTGCTACCCATTCTACTTCATCTTATCAAAGCATTATACTAGGGTCCGGAGACCTGGATGGCAAGTAGAGGGACAGAGCACAAATTAGCTGCCGCCTAGATTCTTAAAACTGGTTTCTGGGCACCCTTATCAACGACATATTGTCATGGTACAATTAGGTGTGTTAGGCTGACAGTGTAAAATTATTTCTTGAAAACGTTCTGGCTTGAAGTTTATAAACTGATGATTTTTGATGCGGCTTTGCATACGATACCGTGAATGTAGTGGTGGAGTAGTGGCACGGAAGAAGATGAGGCTGAGGACTCGGGGCCCGCGGCCGGCTTTCAAAAATTCTATACATGATCTTGTTCATAGACCCCGGAAATCGACTTCAAATTTCATTTGTTAAATTTCGGCTCGTATTGCGTCCTCTAGGATATGTTTGATGTATTAGCTCAAACAGACCATTTCAACGTTTGGTATATGTGCTTCCAATACTTCGACTTTCGACGTTTTAACGACCGATATCAGACTAGACTGTTTCTTGGACAGCAAAACTGTAACAGAATCCGTATCATCGGATTCTTCTGGAATCTATCTGTGCCTGTAAGATGTTTTCATATTTCTGGTATCTCAGCCGCAACTTTGTGGCAGGACAGCATTTACCATCTATTATGTGCATAGATCATTCGCTTTTTCTACAGGAACACAATATCCGGTTCGATGTTGATGTCTGGCCCGCGTCATAGTAGAGCACCTTCGGAGTCGGCTTTCAAGGATTTGGAGTGTCGTTATTATGATAACGAGATTCAAAGTTTAGAAGGCGCCAACTCTTCTGCCCATTTCACACCGTTTGTATACATCGTGACTATTCTGAGCATTATCCGCAATGGGAGTATTCAATATCGAGATTCTTTCCTCACACTTATCTTTCACCATAAAAGACTCATTGCCTGCTGTCCGCATATAGTTGTTCTTTTCCCTAGCCGTGGGGTAAGATTACCGTTGTTAGATGATTTCAAGCCGTGGATGTTCGTCTTCACAGCAGTTTGGCCGAAGTATGTGTATTGTTCACCCGACAGGCCGATCGTAAGTTGATCAGCTGAGTACTTCGTTGTTCTCATGGTGCATCTTCATATAAAGAGTTCCTTGGTTCTCGGACTATAAGGTACACAGACTGAAGAGTTATACCGTCAGGAGTGCTCCAACGATTCACAATCCATTCAGCTATGCCTGGAGCAACATTGCCCCCCTTTCCTGACAATGTACCCACTCACCCACTTCTAGTCGTAGACTATCAGCTCCTCAAAGAAGGTCAGCAGCAAGAAATTGACACATTGTGGGAAGCCGCTACGACTCTCGGGTTTTGGTAGTACGTGCCCATTACTCTCTTCTGATGTTTGTCTTCTTTGTTGATTCGCATGTATACTCTACAGCCTGAAGAACCATGGAGCTGACCAAGTTGTAAGCGACATGTTTGATATGGGAGCGGAAACGATGGATTTGCCTCTCGAAGAAAAGCTGAAGTTTGAACAAGGAGACGATGGACAGTCATCTGGGTTTGTTATTGGTAGTAGTGAATGTCAGGAGTTTTTCGCTTATGACCTTATCCCAGGTATAAAAAGGCTGGTGCTTGTGCAACAGACGAGACGGGGTAAGCCAGAATATCCATTCCTACAGAGATATTTAATATTGTCTGTTACTGTTCAGGAAACTTGATGCTGCTGAATTTATCAATGTATCTAAGGACGATGCGCTGGCTTATCCAAGGATTGCTCGACGGACCTATCCACAGACTGTGAATGCTCGTATGGAGTCGACTATCACACCATTCGTACAGAAGTCGCTGGATGTCAACTATACTATCTTGAAGATATTCAATGACAAGCTTGGTCTTCCTGAAGGCACACTATCCAGGCTCCATGACATCAACGAATTCAGTGGAAGTGAGGCGAGATGCATCAAGACCCCGCCTATGCCCGGGAAGTCATTGGCCGACAAAGCGGCGCTCGGTGCACATACCGACTTCGGCTCACTGGTATGGTCCATCATAACATATTCTACTGACAAGTTGACGTGAACCACTTTTTTTAGTCATTCCTACACAATAGGCTAGGTGGTTTGCAAGTTCTTCCTCCCGGACATGAACGATGGTTATATGTAAAGGTCTGTGGAGTTTTAATTATCGTGGACCGCACCTAACATGATAATCCTGTAGCCTCTTCCTGGTCACGCTATCTGCAACGTCGGAGATGCGTTAACTGTATTCAGCGGTGGAATCCTTCAGTCTAACATTCATCGTGTGGTGTGAGTCCGCTTGTTTTCCTGCTGGATACGTAGCTGAACGTCGACATAGCGCTCCCCCGGGGGATCAAAGCTATCACGAAAGGTGGTCTCTTGTGTTCTTTATACGCCCCGGAGACTCTGTTGTTCTCAGGGCCTTGGTAGAAGATAGCTCTGTAGTTGCCAAGTCTGTCGCAGAGAAGCCCGATAGAAATTTTGAGACAGGTTCAACAGCAGCTGCGTGGTTTGCCCGCCGAGTCAAAAATCAGAGGATCAATAATCGAACTGTACGTCTTGAGTCGCGACTCTAGTGCACCTTGCTTAACGAGTTTCCCAGGGTCCAGAGACCTGGCGTGCAAGCAGAGGAACGGAACATAAACCGGCTGCGGCATGAGGCTTCATTGGCGGTTTATTCGAAGAAATGTATATTTATATGGGATGATTCTGCTATCAGGACTATAACGTCGCTTCCCGTAACTACATGCAATATGCTATGGATTTTCGTCGTGCGTTGTTGTTTTCCCATGAGCTCACAAGGCCAAAAGAAGTGTGGAGCATATTTTGAAGAATCCAAGAGTGAATATAAATTGACTCTACTACTATCGGATTGGTGACGTAGAATGCTATCTAACGATTTTTTTGTACTCGAGTACGGTTTCACAACTGTGTAATGGGAGCAGAGGTTGTCTGCGAAGCAACAGGGGCGAACTGTAGATTCGACATTGGAACCGACGTAACGTCAGTGTGCGCTTGATCATTTTTCCATAGATCTATTTGCATTCTTGTTACAAGCACTGAGTGCATAACTACCTGCATACTGGCAATTTATGAGATGTTAGTCTGAACTTTAATTCATCCAGGTAAAGACGGACGTGGAAAGGACATACCTCGGAAAGACATCACCACTGTATGGACCCTTGAAACATAATGGTAAATAAAGGTTAACATACCATTGTAATCTGTATGCATACCTTGAATAACAACAAAATCATTATATTGGCAATGGAGAAGGCTAATAATGCATTAGTTTGATAATATGAATTTCCTACAACCTCTACTCACCTGAGCTACAAGCGAAATAAAAGATATTATGCTGAATGAGGACTTGAAGTAACGGATTACGCGTAATTTGTTAATGCTTGAAAGCGCGATAGAGGCTGAAGAATATTATTTCTTCCCGTGTACGTTAGCAAACGGATTTGCAATCTGTCAACCAACCTAGCTCGAAAACAAATAAAAGTGCATATGCCACAGAGAGTACACTATCTTGATTGATTTGATAGCAGACTGTAATCACGGGAACGGGTGATTGACTACATTGTTTTAGATGAGACTGGAGAAATGTGAACAAAGGGGAAAATATACAGGGCTGTGGTTCTGTATTTCGCAACGAAGATAATGATTCCAGTGGCGATAGCCTGGGCAGAAGTGTCAATTATTCATCGCATTAGCAAGAATTAACCAGACTTACAGTCATACTGCATAACAACACCACTAACACTCTTTTACTACGTTCCCATAGAGCATATGTCCGCAATATGAAGGTTGCTAAATTTAAATCAGTCCTTATCCATTGATGAAAGAACGACCATACCCTCGGCAACAAATATTGAGAATGCCTCCAGGCCTGAAACAAGAAAAGCCATTGAATGACTATTGCATTATATAGCTAAGGGTAGTTCACATGAAGCTGTCAGAGAAAACCCTGAGCACAACTGCAGATGATGTTAAATTCATTGGATAATGTCGTGCGATATCGAAACTCGTACTTCACGTGGAAAATAAGGGTCAAGTGCTGCTGGAGATAGTATACGGATGAGACCAGAAGAAAAACTCATAGATATAGAGCTCACCGCAACAATATACAGTCGACGTGACAAATGGAAGATAACGGGCTAACAAATACAGCGATTTCACTGTCCCCCACTTAACCTTACGGATATACATAATCTGCCAGTCTTGCGTGGTGAGATAGACAAGTTACATACCCAAAATTAATGTAGAACATACCTCGTCCCCTAGTTGAATACAATAATCATATAACTATAATAATAATGGCGGTGAATTTTAGCATTCTACAAAACGATTTTTGAAACACGGACCAGAATTACAACTGCAGATACTTCATCCATGCGGATCTGAGTTATATCCAGAAATATGTATATGATGTTTAAATACCAATGATATACTGAAGATATAAGAGCGGTTATTGACTTCCAGTTCGATGTCAGGAAAAGGCTTACATTCACGACTTGGATACTCCTAGCAGTACTGATGTTGGAATATTCGTATAAGAGGTCCATATAGTACTAGTTGAGGATGAAGGTTGAAGGTAACAGGTTCTCTTGGGTTCTTTATGAGTTACAAAACCGAACAAAGTTAATGCATAGCCTACCAGCCAATTTCATTGAACGACAGAAATAAGACGTCCTAGATCAGAAACATCAGCGAGTGATTTCATATGTTCGTTCTTCCTAGATAAGCCGGTAAAGATGTTGTCCAGTGACTCCGGGTCATGAGATACACTATCGCCAAAAATAAGCTCAGAGCATTTCCCGGCCTCCATTAAGACATGTACAGACTTACTATAAGAACACCCTCCGTTTATAAGTCGGCGAGGGCTGAGGCCGACAAAACACCATATCACTGGGGCGAGGTAATGCACTGGCATTTGCGGTGTACTTTTATACATAGATTAAGTCCAGGCGATGCGACTGATGAATCATAACTATGATCGCAGCGTAAGTCTGTTCCCAAACTTTTCATACAACCTAAATTTTGGTCCATTGCAGCTAGATAGGTCACCGTAACGGCTTTGGACGACCGGTCGTATCGAGACTAGCACGAAGACCACAGTCAATAGTAAGATCCAGTCTTCGAGTTATATAAAAACGCATAGCATCCAGCTATGTGGTATGATATAAGTCTGATCTCCTGCTGTGCAAACAGCTAGAAATCCTAATGACACGCCAATATTCGTTGCGTTAAGTAACCTTGTCCAGTGGAAAGACAGTCAGCTTCGCGCCAAAGAAAGGCGCAGTTTAAAGATAGACGCAACGTTGGGTTGCGGTCTCGTTGTGCAAATTTTCTTCTCCAAGTTCCCTCAGATTGTCAAAATCTACTATGATGACTTTTCAGTCACAATCATGATCATGATTCTCGGGAGTGGGTGGCAATGCAGTTAGTTCCTCCTTCCATACCCTTCTTCACTAACTTCGTTTCCAAGCCTATGGTGTAACGGTTGTCCTGAATATAAAATGTCAAGGAAAAAGAACGGAGTCTGGCTATAGTTTCAAGCTTCAAATTTCAAAGCTGTTGGCCACACCTCCCAATCGCAATTTGAGAGAAATTCCGGTTATAGACGGCCGCGCGCGTATCATGATGACGGTCTTGTGCACAGTGACTGCAGCTGCGGCGTGAACTTGAAAGTAGCAACTTGTCCTTTACACTTTCTTTCTAAATGCACATGGATGGGTACCATCACTCGGACGATTCACATCTACGTGCTCACATCCAAGAACTACTGGCTGATTATGTGAAGACACATTTAACGCTGGATCACGTAGCTTTCACAGAGAACGCGACAGAACAGGTTCGTTGTTACTGTAGTGTTGACAGACAGTCTAAAAATAATATTCAACGTGTCTCGAACTTTTCCTTAGCTTTTCTCTGAAAGTTTACATTTTGTGTCACTGACTGAAGCTAACACTTTTATTCTCCCCCAAAACCCCTTCGACACGCTATGCCAGTCTCTGGGCCTTTCGAACTTACAACCATACGAAGAAAGATGGGTGGCAGATGTAGATACCATTAAGTTTGCCAAATCAGCACTCAACTTGACGAGTGAGCCTAGGACGAAGTCCTGCTGGCTCGAAGAGGAAAAGGATTGTAAGTTCCACGGTTTCGCTCGAGTTTCGCTCATAACGTCTTTTAGGCTACGCATCTTTATGTCGGCCTATGTCTCCAGTATTAACCGCTCGTGCTATTCGCCGTAGTCCGAAGTTGGGGCATGGCGCAGCTCTCGCCTCCATACCAAGGTCTAAAATGGATATACAGAAGTTAACATCATTCGAGACCGTCGATATGGAGGATATATGTGAACCAGCACCAGTCAGTCTTAAAGTGGAAGAAGTCTTGTGAGTAAAGTGTCGTCATATGCGTTTTATGCGTTGTAATTTGGTTTTCAGATGTATCCGGCATCAAATCCAGCCTGATACTTATGCTGCTATGGCGAAAATCTTGAAATGCATCCCCTTTATGTTACCCTCCTCTAATCATGCGCATATAAACACGTCACTAGATACTTTTCTTCGTTGTACATCTCCAGTTCTAGAATTACCTCGATGTGACACACCGCCACTATTCCCGAGAAACCGTTCCGCAGGGTACGACCAGAACAAGTTACTGAGTCGTCCTCAAGATCAGATATCATTAGGTCTTTCGGCCCTTACAGAATTGCCTGCCATGATTCCCAAAGCAGAGCCCGGAAGCGACGATGACAAGGATATAAATCGAAAACACATGGCCATCGTTGACGGTTGGGGTGCGTTCCGCTTTTGTGCTCTTTACCTGCCTCCCTTGATTGAAAAACGGGACATAGTCACATATGGGCCATCCTCATCTCCGCTATCTTTGGCTTCCAGTTCAAGCCAGGTGGATCAGTTATTCTTACATTCGCCTCCCGAAACATCACCTGAAATCAAGTATTTATTGGATGCTGAGATGGGTATTCCAACTCCATACCAGTTATCAATTCAAGACTCACATGCGTTGTAGACGAAGCGGAGATTCCAAGGGCCAGACAACCTGGCACAAAACCTGTACCCAGTATTACGGAAGGAAAACGGTGTGTATATATTATATATGATACTATGTGTCATAAGTTAAGTTAACACTTCATTCGTATCACCAGCATCGGTTCTTTCCTGTCACCTTTCATATCTGACATGAAGCAATCCATATCTCAAGGGGTGAACCAATCAAAGTCGTCACCTAGCAAAACTCGATTAACGACTCCTCCACCGGACGATGACATGGACTTTGATTGCGATTTGAATCAGGTTTATAAAAGTGTGCAACAAGAAGATATTAGAAGCATCATTATGGGGGAACAACTAGATGCGAAAGATACGCATTTAATGGAAGGTAGCTCCTTCCTTCGTTCAAATCACAATGTAGACCATGACAGTGTCTACAGTACCAGATCTTCCACCTCCCACAGCCTATCCACGTCATCCGATGTTTTATCCGACTAGCCTACGTACATACGTTGCCCATCCGTCATCTTCTCTAACGGAAACCACACCAGCTCAAAGCAGTACTGACCAGGGGCCCCGAAATTTTCTTCAAAAGGTCAAGGGAGTGAAACCACTCAGTCTCGAGCTGTCGTGGAAGTTCGTCCTGACCTCGTCATGTGAAATTAAAGAGTCAGTTTTCGCTCACTTTTGTAATGACCTGCAGGCCCTTCCAGTTTGGTTTCAAGATCCCTACAGATGAAGAAGTCAGCAAAGTTGATGGGACTTTCCGAGATGAGCTGGACATTTCTTACGAACATCACGGTGACCAGGTAGACAAACTACTGGGGAAAACGGTTACAGTCCGTGAAGAGCACGATACTAACATCATGCGCGGATGTATCGACTTCGGAACGAGTCCGAACCGCCTCCAGAACATATCACTAGGTAACGATAGTATTGGGTTACTGCTTACCAGGGGGGAGAGAGAGCGTCTTTCCGGCCTTAATGCTGTCACTGAGTCGGCCGATCAAAGCATGAGTGGTGTCTCCGGCCTAGAAAAAGGACCTGTCGGAAACTACCGTCAAGTTAACAGCCGCTCTAGCGATTCATCCCCCGTCCAAGATTTCATTGCAGTGGTGAACACCGATTTTGGCGAATATGATACCTACCAATCGCGGAACCAAAGTTCCCCCATCGCGAACGCACCCCAGCTCAATCATATTTCGTATGCTGTGGATGACATCGACATACCTACTGAAGATGAAAGAAACCTAGAGGAGCTTTCAAACGTTCAACTCGACTGTATGCCCTTCAATCCGCAAAGTGGGGTTGCTCGTGACCAAATGTCGGATCGTACAGACCATGGACTGTTTTTACCCTTATCTTTTGGATCTCAAGGCCCGAATATCTCCCATACGGTGCCAAATTCTATTTCCGATGCTACCTCTGCTTTCGATACGCCGGGCGCTAATATGACTCACAATGGTACTAACAGTGCGGCACTTTTGAATACGTGTATTGGTCTCTCGCAGTTTGATATCTCCCTTGATTGTGCTTCAAACGCAAAACATTCTCGGACATCGCTTATACAGGAATCGCTTACATTGTTTATGGATATGCGCAACAAGAAAGATCTCACTGAAACCCAACCTGTGGAGGCCGATGCGGAGCAAAACCTCGGCGACCATTCTCAATGTCCAGGTGATCTCGATGGTTATGTTCGCGAGTGTTCTCTATCTCGTTCTACTCCTGCCGAATTATACGATCAAAATACGCTTCGCCTTCCTGACAGTTGGACGCCTCCAATGACTTTACACAGGTATCTGGCATCGATGGACTTTATTCAAAAACGTAATCTTGTGTGCTCTTTTCAATCTGACATCTATGCTGTAGACCTCGTCGAGCGCCAAGCTTTGGGTGATGTTGACTTGATCTTGGATCCCGACTCAGCTATCATCTTCGTGTCTCTCCTTTCCTTGCCAAGTCAAGTCAAGCATATCATTCAAAGACTGGAGCAGCAAACGTGGCGGTTTTCTCATATTCTTGTTATTTTTGAAGCTTTTCCGAGTGTTCACGTATTTAAATCCGACGAATGCAGCTCCAATCGGCCCATCCCATACGCTTACACACCTCCCACCCAAAAGGCCATCAAGACGCTCAGACGAATTCTCGATATATCAGACGCCTATCAAAGTAAGAATACGACCACACAAATCTCCTTCGCATTTGCAAATACCGTCCATGAAGCAGCGCTGTTCACGAGGCACTTTGGTAATCTCGTCGAAATAAATGATCCACGCTCAGGTATCCTCTGGGGGCAACGAGATTGGCTGCATGATGAGGAGTATGAGGTTCATTACGCTTTACGTTTCAGCATACCTCAGATCAAACTCACATCCCTTTTTAGGGGGAGACTGATCTTGCGTGTGCTGATGGTATGAATACCTTTGCAGCGTTTATCATGCTCTCCCAGAGACCGCTCGAAGACATCTTAGACCTGTTACCTGACGCTAGGATTCAGGAATTTGCACCTCTTGTTGGTGATAGCAGGATAGTGAGCCCTTCCAATCGACTATCTCTATATATAACCAGTCTTTTATCTCTAAGGCTACTCTTAACGCTGTAATTGCGCGTCGCATCCAAGATATGGAGATGCCCGATCTTATCGCCAATAACAACTTTCTACCCGAGCGGTCGATTGTCGATTCAGAGCAGGAGGGTGTGGGCCGTCTCTACTGAGAAGCCCGTGATGGACCGCACTCGTGACCAGATAAAGAAAGACTTTAGCATACTATTTTCAGCTTATCGGCGGCGTTCAATGTCAACTACAGTTTTGGTACCTTCTTTCAGTGTGAATTCAGGTCGCTAACTCTCATCGCCACCACATATTCCGCCAGCGCAAACCTTTTCGCCTTTTCCACGAACAACGCTTCATCCTGGGAGCACTCTCATTGTCTGAATCCCGACACCTGACCTGCTGACCTGTGCCCGACTTAGCGATCGACCACTTATAAAGATCGTGTTTGCGATATTCATGTGGTCTTACACATTCACACTATGTCTTCCACTACATTAGCGAGTGCTCCCGCTTCATGTTGTTTTACTGGCGTAAAGCACTTCGGCACTCCCGTCGGCCGTGTCGTCGATCTTGGAGGGTTAGAAACATATATTTCTGAACCGAAGGAGCAGGGTCCACAGAAGATAGTGATGCTATTTTTGGCGGATGTCTGGGGCTCGCTATGGATCAACAATAAGTTGCTGCAAGATTACTTTGCTTCAGTGGGTAGGTTCTTGGTTTGATCTCGTACTGGCCCGAAAAAACTGGATACATTCATACCCTAGGATATTACGTGCTTGGACCAGATTATTTATTTGGTGATGCAGTGCCGAACCATCCTCCAGATTTCGATAGACATACGTGGGCCAAGACCAAGTTGAAGCCTGCGCGAGACGCATTTCCCAAGTGGCTCGAAGCTGTAAAGGAGATTCATGGTATGTCGTGTGGTTCAATCATTTCGTTTTCACCAGCTTATTGCTGAGCAGGCACCGAGAACACGAAGTACTGCGCCGTGGGTGAGCAAACATAGCACAGCCAAAAACTCACAGCCAATATATATGAAAAATGTGATGGTAGGATATTGTTTCGGCGCACCTTTTGTAATGGAGTTGGCGGCAACCGACTTCATTGAGGCTGGGGCTTTAGCTCACCCAGCATTCCTGGATGAGAGCCACTTCGAAGATTTGAAAAGTGAGTGAACCCACTCGTTTTTATGCACCAGATCTTATTTTCTTATATGCCATCTACAGAGCCCTTGTTACTGTGTTGTGCAGGTAAGATCCATGTATTACAACCAGGGGTTTCGAATATTAAATCATCTCTCCAGAGGAGGACCATACATTCCCTTTGCCGTCACGTCGTCGTGCAGAAGACATCTTGGTGGAACGGAAAGCAAACTATTATTTCCAGATATTTGCTGGTATCAAGCACGGTTTTGCTGTCCGCGGCAACCCAGATGTTGAACAAGAACGTGTGTCATCGTAGTGCATACTTCATAAACATAGGACTGACAATCCTCAAATCTGTAGGTTGGTCCAAAGAAGAATGTGCTCGTACAGTTGACAGGTGGTTCAAGCGGTTCGCTGGATCTGAGTAGTCACCTCAACGTTCGAAGTAGCGACATGAAAGAAGTATATTGTATCTCCTTATTTCCCAATCACGAATCTTTGTCTGAAAGTAGCACAGCGTAGACAATTTCTACAAGGGGTGAACTACATTCATGATCAATTTATGGAAGACTGGAACATACTATTTTCAGCTTATCAGCGGCGTTCAATGTCACCTACAGTTTTGGTGCCTCAGTATCCTTGTACCCATGACGTATGTCACCAGCGCAAGTCATTCCGACTTTTCCGCGAGAAGTGCTTCCCAGAGTCCCTTTCATTCAATTTTTGAACCCTGATGACCTGCTGACTTGTTCTTGACTTAACCAGCTTGCTTATAACATCATGTATTCGATTTTCATTGAGTTTGACACACTCACACTATGTCTTCCACTACGTTAGCAAGTGCTCCCGCTTCATGTTGCTTTACAGGCGTAAAGCACTTCGGCACTCCGGTCGGCCGTGTCATCGACCTTGGAGGGATGGAAACGTATATCTCTGAGCCAAAAGAACAAGGTCCCCAGAAGAAAGTGATATTATTTTTGGCAGACGTTTATGGTGCGCTATATATCAACAGTAAGCTGTTGCAGGATTATTTCGCCTCGATGGGTAGGTTTTTGTGTAAACGTTGCTTGACGAAGATCGAGTGAACAAAACTTTTATGCCAGGATTTTATGTGCTTGGTCCAGACTATTTCTTTGGTGATACAGTCCCCACTCAGCCACCAGGTTTCAATAGGGATGCTTGGGCAAAATCGAAATTGGCACCTGCGAAAGAGGCATTTCCGCAATGGCTTGATGCTGTGAAGGAGATGTATGGTACGTGGTGAGGTTGATCATTTGTATTGCATCATAACACTCACTGAGCAGGCACTGAGAATACGAAGTACTGCGCTGTGGGTAAGCATTCATAGCACAGATGTAAACCTGCAGGAAAGCAAAGATACATGAAGAACTGATGACAGGGTACTGTTTTGGCGCACCTTTCGTCATGGATTTGGCAGCAACAGATTTCATCGAAGCTGGTAAGACTTGGATGGTGTGTAAGAGTTCAAATTACTTCACAACAATATAGGGGCTTTGGCGCACCCAGCATTCTTGGATGAGAGCCATTTCGAGAAATTGAAAAGTGAGTCAACCTAGAATCTTGTCTTTACAAACTCTTAATGTCTGCTGTATAACCCTCAGAGCCCTTGTTGCTATGCTGTCCGGGTGAATTTACCTTCACAGCCTCCGTATTCCAGTATTGAAGCTAAATCTACAGAGGATGACCACACTTTCCCTTTGTCCTCGCGTCGCCGAGCTGAAGATATTATGGTTGAACGAAAGGCACTATATTATTTCCAGGTATTTGCTGGTGTTAAACACGGTTTCTCTGTTCGGGGCAACCCAGACATCGAGCAACAACGTGCGGCATGACAGCGTATGATTGACAGGGTCGAAACTAACTATCCTCGTCTCTCTAGGGTGGTCCAAGGAAGAATGCGCTCGTGGAGTCAACGAGTGGTTTACGCGTTTTTCCAGATTTGACTAGTAGTAAACTCCATGTTCAAAGTAAGGGAAAGGAAAAGAAGCTTGATTCCCCATCACACTACCTTGTGATAAATAGATATATGCCTCCTTACAAGACGAATACGATTGTGCTATGCCTTATGAACGATGTCAGCATTTTTACATAACTGAGCAAAGATAATTACTCGCCTAAGCGCTTTGGTGAAGGTGTTCAACCAATTTCCACACCACCAACTTTGACAACCATCTTTATGGGGAATGGCGAGATGCCGGTAGAGTTGGTAATTAGGGGTACCGCTGTACGTCCACGTTCAGATGATGTATGCGTGAGCATGACGTGTAATGATTTGGAAAGAGTAGATGCCAGCGTAGCATTAAATTCCTGTCGGTCTATGCTATATTTAACGTAAAGATTGTTTCATCGGTAGCGTGGCCACAAACCTCGATCTGACTTGGGCTGTCTCATTTCAGCGTTGATTATCCTGAGGCGTCGACCTGTTCAGTATAGAGTATGACGGGGGATATACAGGAGAGATAACCCACCATTGCTCCCAAGGAACCTCTTCTTCACCCATGTACACCTGAAACCAAGACTTCTTTGGACGCTTTTCCGAGAAAATAACGAGTATCTGATAAATAAGTAAGGTCAAGATATAGTACAAGGGCGAGTATAAATGCAGTCACCTGGCCACGTTTATTCACACCGCCTTCGATACCTTTCCAGAAGATATCTACCTTGTCGTTCACAAGTTGCTCCATCTCTTGATCGACCACCCCCGGCTGAATATCAAGTTAGCAGAGGGAAGAAACGGGGCAGAAAACGACGTACCATGGTAACATCAAGCACTTCAAAACTCTGAGGCTTTACTAGCCCAAACAGCCTGTGGAAAAGTATAGAGTGGAGGATGGCATGGAGAACTTCTTTGGCAGTGCGGCGATCAAGGACCTAAACTAACGATTTGTAAAGAAATCTGATATTGAATGTCTTGCAAGGGCCTTACCACATCAATAGTAACTATAGGGTGGTTATTGTTCATCTCCCTTGAAAGATAACAACTTGGCCTGGGGAACTGACGGAGTCGTAAAGACAAGCATGTGAAGATTACAAACCCTAACCCTTCCAAATCAGTTCAGGCGCTTACAAGCCAAAATGCTCATATCTCATTGGGCACCACAGCTTAGTGCTCCACTAACCCCACAGAACGCAACAGCATTGGCAATAGTAGGTGACATGCTAGAGAGAGCATAAGGAGTTATCGGTGCATATGGATGGTCTGTCCAAAGTCTACGTTTGATTCGTCTGGGTGGATCTCCTGAGCTTCGAGACAACTCGCATCTGTACGTAAAACTCTGGGAAGGAAAATATGATACAGGACGATGTACTACACCTACAAGATATTCATGCTGCGATAGTCTACACTGACCTTCATTAGAGCCCTCCTCCGCCCAAGATATATTCAATTGCCGAGTGTACGTTGCCGCCTGTCGCTAACAGCGCTCGTATGTTCTGGGACGCATTCGTGAAACCCATGTCCTGTAGTTGCTGTACGTACACAATAAAATGAGTCATGTATATTTTCACCAGATCTCACAATAGTACTCACCTGTAATTGCACTTGGAACCTTTCTTCGGGTGGCCTTGCGTCACTTGGGGTAGGAGGGACGCCACCAAAACCGCCAGCTCCACCCATGCCGCCTCCAGCGAAGAGCTGCTGCATCATTGCGGGATCAAACATGCCCAATGGCGGGGCACCAGCACCTCCGTTTGCAGGGTTCGTGCCAGCGTTGGCGGCGCCTGCTGCGGGAGGTGATGTAGGGGCGAATGGAGGGAAAAACGCGGGAAAAGGAGCATTTGGTGCCGCTTGTTGCGGCTGTGGAGTAGAAGATGCATTTGTAACTCCAGTAGATGGAAATCCAGGAGCTGGGAAACCACCGCCAGGCGCAGCACCAAACGGGTTAGGGAAACCGCCTCCACCGCCGCCGCCGGTCTCGCGGAGAGCTGAGGCCATCTGAAGCATCGAGCGAAGATTTTCAGGGTTTGACCTGAAGCGTTGAGGGCGGATAAGCACAGAAACACTTAAACGAGAGTGATGATACTTACATCAATTCCCTAAACCGCTCGCTCTGAAATACCTCACGAACTTGAGGTGCCATAGCAGCAAGTTGAGGGTTGGAAGCAATTATTTGGTCGAGAACAGCAGGGTTGGACATGACGCTCGACATCTGCTGAAAGAACTGGGGAGAGCTCATCATGCTCTGTAGCTGAAGTGGAAGATCATGATGATTAGTCATATGTAAACGTCAGGACAAGAGAATACAATACCATGTTCGGATCGTTGGGATTGAGACCCATATCTGCGAAAGGATTCAATCCCGCCATAAGTCCGTATCCCATGTGGCTGTTGAGTTGGGTCAAGGGGTCGTGTGGGTTTTGTCCGGCTTGCATAGTAGGTAAAGGCTGCGAGGAAGCTGCCTGCTGCGTTGATGATGCACCAGAGCGAGAGACACCTTTGACCATGTGGATCGTATGCGAAGACTGTATCTTGTAGACCGATAGAACATCCTCGTCCTGAAGGGTATCGTTTAGTAAGCCCGCTCACCCATCATACGCGCGTACGTACTTTCAACACTCGTCCTATGGTGTATAGCCATTAAGTACAATAAATAGTAGGATATGGAGTTGGACGTACCGGAATATATCAACCTCTGGCGGTCCGCTTCGACATCTGACTTCTCCGCAATTGCTTGCTTTAGCTCCAACACGGTTTTATCTGTGCTAATGGTAATCTGCAATTTGAGCTCGCTAGGACCTATGAAAGCATGATGTTCAATTGTGCTGAAAATAAAGGATGAAGAGCGTACCTTTGACATTGATTTGGATCTCTGAGGGTTGGGCACTGTCCGACATACTGATTGGAGAGCAGGAGAGTGTTTGTGGCTGTTATCGGAAACGCGCGCTCTCATATCAGGCAATCGTTATCACTGCCTCCGTGATCATATATTTTGTAGATAACTGCGCAAAACCACTCATACGTGTCCTGCATAAAATGTCATCGTCCACTCTTCTTGCTGGTCCTCTCGGTGATGCCTGCTTCAAGACAGTCAAGCACACTGGAACACCGGTAGGACGTGCTATCGAAGTTGCTGGTGTGCCAACGTACATTTCTGAGCCGGCCGAGTCCACTGGCACCCAGAAGAAAGTCATTCTTTTCTTCGCAGATGTCTTTGGCCCTTTCTACTTGAACAATAAATTGGTGCAGGATTACTTCGCCTCCTTTGGTAAGAAGTCCTGGCTATTACATATGATAATAAGTAAACGTCTTACTGAATCCCTTTTCCATTTCAGGTTTTACGGTGTTGGGCATCGATTACTTCTTCGGGGACTCGATGCTGAACCACATGGATGATGCAGGCCGTCCTGCCTGGATCGCAAAGGCCAAACAGGAGGCTGCAGAGTGTGCCCCACGATGGATCGAGGCCGTGAAAGAGACCTATGGTGAAACGCAGCATGGGCTCTCAGCGCCTGCTACCACTTCTGACTCTCATTGCTCCCATATTTAGGAACTACTGATACAAAGTATTGCGCAGTTGGTAAGCGTTCGAATCAGATATCAAATAGTATCGTTCAGCGCCTCACCGTACGTTCGTTACGTAGGATACTGCTTTGGTGCTCCTTTTGCAACCGATCTTGCTGCAACCGACTCAATCGTGGCAGGTCCGTCTAGTTTGGCTTTGACATCTTCATTTTATAAAGTTCTGTGCTCCAGCTGCATTTGCCCACCCTAGTGCTCTTAGCGAGGAACAGTTCCAGAAAGTGAAGAGTACGTGAACGGCTCTTGCTATACCCCCCAATAATAATCTTAACACCATGTATCTCAGAGCCGTTGTTATTGTCGTGTGCAGGTATGTTCACATTTTGGTTCCATTTCGGTGACCATCGCTAATACAATATAACCAGAGGTCGATAGAGCGTTCCCTGTAGAAGCCCGTCGGCGCGCAGAAGATATCTTGGTCGCGAATAAGACTCACTACCACATCCAAGTGTTCGCAGGCGTATCGCATGGATTTGCCACGCGTGGCGATTTAAATAACGAGACAGAGTGTACGTATCCTCAGTACCGTGTGCTTCCGAATCATGCTGATTTGAAAAATATCTTCAGGCTGGGCTAAAGAAGAAAGTGCTCGAGGAATCATCGGGTGGTTCTCTAGATTTGCGTCTGTCTCTGAATCGAAGCTCTAAATTTAAGTTGGGTATTATTGCATATATAAACTTTATACGTATGTTGTATTGATATTGTATCCGTACCTGGACAAGTAGCTGGATGGATTTATTATTTCCAAGCTGACCACGCATCTCAGAACATGATATCTACGTTGACGTTGAATTTGAGTTGATTTTGTAAACGCGTTTCCGTCTATCTGTCCAGCAGAGAGATGGCACAATCAACTACGGGCAAAACCCTCGCTGCAACTCGCAACAAAACACCAGCATCCATACTGTCATCTTGACCCATGACATCAACCTTTCTATAAATCTGGTCGGTGCGTATAAAGTACGCTAATATGTTGTGATAGGATTCGTGTAAGTAATTACATAGCAATGCAACATGATATGACCAGAAAAACCCAGAGGCAGCCGACGACATTTGACCTGTGACGAGTATAGTAGTAGAGATATACAAAGCGATATTAGCGAGCGACCTTGAAAATATTTGATGACAGCTTGATTTTGGACCTCTAGACAGCGTCATCGAGAGAGGGAGGTGTAGATCGCGGCGAACGTGATTCGGGTGAGTCAATGCCTCCGTCGACTTCGTATTCCACCGTCTTCTCAACGTTGATCTCCAACTGGCAAGACGTATAATCAGTCAGCCTTATGCTTGTGGGAATAGTGAATGAGAACCCACTTTCGTCGCCGCATGGTCGATGCGAGTCTACGATGAATTAGAATAAAAGGGGGGCTCAATAACGTTGGCGCTCACCGTTTGGCGCGACCGGAACCGGTTGGCAAAACCTGGTATCACAATCGGCAGCTCTCCCGACAAGCCCCTTTGAGAGCGCTCCCGTTGCAGTTGTTTGCGAGCATTAAGCCTGAAAATAGGTCAGGTAGGAACCAATGGCATGACCTTCAAAGCTACTCACGTTGCAAGTAGAGAGTTAGCATAAACTGTCGAGATTTTAGAGGGGATAAAGTATATGATCGAAATAAAAAAGACGTACGCTTGCCTATCACAAAGTGAAGGCCCATGAATACGAGGTTGTTGGGCATAGCTAACCACTGTAGCATGGCATGAGCTAAGACTGTAATAGGTGACCCAAAGCAAGCTCAAACTCACGCAAACCATAGACACTATTGTTGCAGTGCTAAAGAAAAAGAAAAAGATAAGATTGAAAGAATAGACTACATCAACCCTCACTGACTACGTACCATGTGATGGAACCATTTTCAAACGTATAAAGTATGACTGAGTTGATAACGTGGTCCATGCTAGAGTCCAACATTTTGCGAGATCACATGAGGTTAAGTTGGATGTAAGACTGGCAAATAATCTACTTGCCTGGAATTTGAAGAGGCCTTGCGACTGCCACGTAATGAATGACACAGGAAAACCGCAATGAGCACATCCACAAGCGAAGACAACGCTAGTCCCAGAGTGAACACCCACTACAGAAATGATCATCAGTTTAGTACTTAGACAAAAAGCATGGATGCGAACTCTGAACTCGTGCTTGAAGCTTGAAAAGGTTTCCATGTGAATCCTAGGCAGAAGGGTGAGTAAAGCCGCTATGTTTTCATTAGCAGAAACAAACGGACATTTCACCTGTAGTCACTGTATGGAACCAATTTTTGACACATAAGAGAAATATATAAATGAGAGGTGATGCCTAGACATACCGGACGCGGAACCTAACTCGGACAAATCAGATCTAAGAAGACATCTTTCAGGCTTGAAAGAAACTCACACAAACGCAGGAAAGCACATGTAGACTGCGTAACAACATGAGCTAATGTACAGTTATAGAACTGATTACGCACGAGAGGGATTGTAATTCGCCAGTCTCCACGGCTCACTTTGTGTTATGTCAAAACATGAAACCTGTTTTGATCTGGGGGTGGACTCACGTTTGTGTATTCTATGAGCGAAGAAACTACGAAATTATCGTCGGTATACACCCGCAAGTAGTGGGTAAAAAAACATACCAATGTACGATAAAAGTAAGGATTGCCTGCGAAAAGTAACAGTTTAAGGGACCGCCGAGTCATAATTTATTCATAATGGAGGACTCACAGTGAGAGCGATGCTCATCTACACGATGGGTCTTGTCAGATGATGAAAAAATACTGCATAATTGTCAACTCACGGCGACAGTCCTGTGGAAGTAATTATTATTCAAATGGATCTTGGTAATCAGGGTACATCGTTACCTTGGGATCGTATCGATCTTACTGGTGTCGCCAAAGTTCGTGATAAGATAAGTCCATATAGAACCCCATATTAGACTAGTATGTGCTGTATCCATTAACCTTGGGGATGAGGCATCTCATAAGCTGGAGTTCATTTAATCATGGATGACTACTGACCAAATAGCGCCCACCTAGAACATCACTTGTTAGAACCAAAGATAATATAGAAGTCGATAGTACTTACGAGTGCTCTGTTTCTAAGCAGGTCGGTAGGATAAAGCCTGATGTAAGAAAATGATTGCACGGTCACGGTGCCAGACAGGCTAGAGGTCAAGAGAAACTTGAGTGAATGGGTTGACGGGAAATATGAGGATTGCAGGCCAACTTACCCTGTGGCTAGTAGCCCACCTATCAAGAGGGCACCATATGTTGTAGGAATATCAACCATACTATATAAGTTGGATCGACAGGGCTAAAGAAGGGAAAGGAGGGAAAGAGAAGCAAAAGAGCGGGGAGTAAAAGTAAAAACCAACATACAAGCAAATTGATTTTATGGGGACCAATCCCTGCTGGCATTCCAAGGTACAACAGTTTGTGACGGGATCTTCACGGCAGTTCACCCGCAGAGCATTCCACAACGGACTAAGGATTGCCGTAGATACCAGACACTTACATACATACGAGCTAGCCATACGGGTGCGCCAAGTACGGATACGGATCACTCTACTAGTAGCTCTGGACCCCCGTCAGAATTTCATTTCGTCTTTATGAAAAAGTCTTCGGATAAAGGCTTCCACTGAGTTCGGTTCGAGATGATGAGTCTGCAACTTGAATGTGATTCACGTCACATTCAAGGTTCATCGATGCGTTCATGTTGGCCTTGGAGCATATTAGGAACCAGACCCATCATGATTATGCATTATGGACGTAACTTCATTCCTCCGTGGTTGCGATAACTTCCAGTCGAAGTGGAACGTCCTGAGACGGCTCGATCGAGTCGGACTTCGGATTTAGAAACAGAAACAGGGACCAAAACGTCAACGGAGCAGTTCACTGAATTATTTATACAGTGACAGACAGGTTGTAGGCAGCGATTATAACGGAATCAGTTACACAAAAAAATCTTAGAGCTATGCTTCTTGACATATACGTTACTATTAGTCCCAAGTTGGCGCCTGGAGGTTGAAGAGGGGACTCAATTAAAGGCTAATAAGGACTTGGATGAGGAGACGGAGGTACGTTAACTTCAAGCTCTGTGCGCAAGGATTACAGTGGGCGGATATACGGATAGACTACATCCTGATGTTCAACAAAATTGAAGCTGCACACTTTTGATGGCCTCAACCATAACTTGATTTGGCTTCTTTTCTCACTGGCCCCGTCAGGGTGGCTCAACAATAGAGCAGGAATTACATATAGAGGACAGGGCTAAGAAACTTGTTATTCAGATAACGTGTCCGTGAACATATTCAATACCAATACGAAGAAGATGGACAAACCCAGAGTTGGTCGTTGTTACAAGTGCCGCTCAATTCTAAGAGTTCACCCGTCGAACTGAACTCGCCATCATGAGTCCATCCGCCCCGTGTTAACTGGCTATATCTCGACTAGGCCAATCCAATGTCTAGTGTGTATCATATGGATGGCCGGTCCAAACTCTCAATCGAGCACGACAAAAATCAGGCGACAGTCACTGTACTGCTCCTGTTGATGAGGATCGTGAATTTTGGCTGTGCGCACCTAGTAAGAATATATGTCGAAGCTTGTCTGATCATTTCAAGTACCTGCAATGGACTTGCATTGCATAGGTGATGGATCTGGTTTGCTTGAACTGAATGATTAGCAAGGTCAAAGCAAGTCCTTCGCTAAAGACCGAACAACGCCTTTCGCGTCGCGCGTACAGTCACAGTCACGTCACACCCTGTTTCCTAGCCTCACCACGACATCCCACAAACAGGCATGACAGTAAGCATTTTGAGGTTTTTCTCTTTTTTAATAGCGTTTACACAGGATGCAGGATCTAACTACCCCAATGGACGAGGATATCCTTAGCGACGTTGTTCCCAGCAATATTGTCTCGCGTCAGGTTGGTACCGGTTGACCTGGACTTTGAAATCCACTAATTCAAGACTGTGTCTTTTCGTCAATCAACAGCAAAGCGAAGGACAAGACGGAGAAAGCGAGTATGTTGAGGATGAAGGCGCGAACAGCGAACAAGACGAACTGCAGAGCGAACCAGAGGTTGAGGTAATGCTGTATTCTCCTGTTCGGGTATATGTCATTAACTTTTGATTTGCCCCATGTTTAGGAGCCGGCCGCCAGCGGTTCATCACCCTCTAAGCTCTCAAAGATACAGGAAACTGCTGAACGACAACAGAAAAAACAAAAGCGCAAGGTTGAGGAAGGCCAACTCCAAGTAAAAAGGCAAGAGATGGATAAGGCAAAGGTACGCAGCACACAAATACTCTCAATCAGTATTTTCTTGACTTTTTATGCAGATTACGGATGCTGTAAAACGTTACTCTTATCTTCTGGGTCAAACCGAACTTTTCAAGCATTTCGTTGATATCAAAGTAGGTATTTTCACATGTTTTAGACACAATTTGTAACTTCGCATGCAGAGAGCTCGTGATCCAGAATATGCTGCCATGTTGGATGCTCAACCTAAACCCAAAGGTAGAGGGAGAAAGAAAGCAGTGTGCGTAAATACGATGTTCACTAACCGTATGTATACTCACTCTCATGCTAGTGACCAAAATGCACGCCATCGTAAATCAGAAAGAGAGGAAGACGAAGAATTGCTCAAAGATGGCGAATTAGCAGCAGATGGAAACGACCAGCCTTTCGTCTTTGAAGAGTCGCCGAGTTGTTAGTAAACTTTCACCTTACGCTGAGGAGATCGCTGAAATGGTTACTTTTCTCACAGTCATAAGTGGACTAATGAGGCCTTATCAGCTCCAGGGCCTCAACTGGATGGTATCATTACACCACAATGGATTGAATGGGATCCTGGCAGATGAGATGGCGAGTACCTTTTTTAGTAAAATCCCTGCCTTATGCTGATGATGGTCATAACAGGGCTTGGGCAAAACTCTTCAGACAATATCATTTTTGTCTTACCTGAAACACTATCGTGATACCTCTGGCCCGCATCTCATTGTTGTACCAAAGTCAACTCTCCAAAACTGGGCTCGCGAGTTTGAAAGATGGACGCCTGACGTTAATGTCGTTGTCCTTACAGGTACTAAAGAAGAGCGCGCAGAAATTATCGCCAATCGTCTCATACCACAGGATTTCGAAGTCTGTGTCACTTCATATGAGATTTGTCTTATAGAAAAGTCTGCACTCAAGAAGTTTTCATTCGAATATATCGTCATCGACGAGGCCCACCGCATCAAAAACGTCGACTCAATACTTTCGCAAATCGTGCGCTCATTTTTGTCTCGTGGACGACTCTTAATTACTGGCACGCCATTGCAAAACAGCTTGAAGGAGCTGTTTGCTTTGCTCAATTTCATTTGCCCGGAAATTTTCTCCGATTATGCGGATTTGGACAGCTTCCTTCATAAAGATGATGAAGGGGCTGAAGGAGAGGAAGAGACCAGTAAAAAGGTTGTCGAAGCTCTTCATAAAATCTTGCGACCATTCCTACTGAGGAGAGTGAAATCCGACGTAGAGAAAAATCTGTTGCCAAGTAAGCCGTTGTAATATGTCTGTGTTTGTGCGTACTGATCTTTTTATCAGAGAAAGAGATTAATATCTACATTGGCTTGACGGAGATGCAGAGGAAATGGTATCGTTCCGTCTTACAAAAGGACATTGATGCCGTCAATGGTATGTTTTAATACTGTGGCCCCGCAGTGATCCTTACCTCGTTCTAGGGCTCACCGGTAAAAAGGAAGGAAAGACTAGATTAATGAATATGGTTATGCAGGTGTGTTCTTAGACCTTTTATGATCACTCCACTTTGCTGACATTAAGATAGTTGCGGAAAGTGACATGTCATCCTTATCTTTTCGATGGAGCAGTATGTTCATTATTTTCTTTCTATGGAATCAACATGCGGATGATTGTATGCTATGTTAGGAACCGGGTCCACCCTACACCACTGATGAACACATTATAGAGAACTCTGGGAAAATGATCATTCTGGATAAACTTCTCCAATCAATGCAGGCGAAGGGCTCCAGGGTTCTTATTTTTAGTCAGATGAGTCGGGTACTAGATATCTTGGAGGATTATTGTCTATTCAGAAGCTTTAGTACGTTCTGACACATTTCATGTCTTGTATCTGCTGATTTCGGGGTAGAATACTGTCGTATCGATGGTAGTACGGCGCATGACGATCGCATAGTTGCTATCGATGAATACAACAAACCAGATAGCGAGAAGTTCATCTTCCTCTTGACGACTCGTGCAGGTGGCCTGGGGATAAACTTGACCACTGCAGACATTGTTATTTTATATGACAGTGATTGGTGACTTATTATCCTATTTTGTGATGTAATGTGGCTTATTCACACTCCTATCCTAGGAACCCACAAGCTGATCTGCAGGCTATGGATCGTGCTCATCGTATTGGCCAGACTAAGCAGGTATACGTTTTCCGATTCATAACTGAAGATAGTGTAGAAGAGCGTATGCTTGAGCGCGCAGCACAAAAACTGCGGCTGGATCAACTAGTTATTCAGCAAGGTCGACAGCAAACTTCGAAGGGTGAGCCTTATTGTGGCATTGTTCTATTCTTTCTTGGCTAAAACTAGTCTTCCAAGCTGCCAACAAAGATGAGCTGTTAGAGATGATTACTCATGGCGCCGACAAGATAATTAATTCAAACGACGAGTAAGGTTGTTGAGCAAGGCGTTGAATCACCTCTTATATTCGATAAATCTACAGATCATTGATAAATGATGATATTGAAGCTATCATTCAACGCGGTGAAGAGCGAACACAAGAATTGAACAGCAAATATGAAGGACTCAACCTCGAGGATCTTAGTAATTTCAAGTCAGATAACTCTGTTCAGCAGTGGGAAGGAGAGGATTTCCGCTCAGGGGTAAGTGTACTTGAATAGGATTGAGCTTTCGCTTATGATTTACTATCTTTTCAGCGCAAAGCACTGAACTTCAACATGTTGTCTCTGTCCAAGCGTGAACGTAAAACGAACTATTCAGTAGACAGCTACTTCAAAGATACACTACGTGCTGGACCCTCAAAGACGGAGAAAGCTCCCAAGATTCCTCGTGCACCCAAACAAATTCAAATGTTTGCTCTATTTTCCCTTTGCTATGAATGCATACTCATGCTCAGGCATTATTTGGTAGACAAGACTTTCAGTTCTTTGATCCTGCTCTCGCCCAACTTCAGGAGCGTGAACTTGCCGTTCATAAGGTTGGTCATAGATGCTGTGTATACTACACGTGCTAACCTTAATGTCAGAGATTGAATGGCATCGTTGCTGTTGCTCGGGAGGCACAAGGACCTGAAGATACCCCAGAGAAACTGGAGACTGAACGGCAAGCCGCTCAAGAGTTTATAGACACTGGTAAGACGGCACAAATAACTATCGTACCTGTACTAATCACAGCATTTTCGACAGCTGAGCCTCTAACAGAAGAAGAGCAGCAGCAAAAGGAAGAGTACACAGAGAGAGGTTTCTTTGACTGGAGTCGACGAGATTTCCAACAATTCGTTCGCGCACTAGAGAACTTCGGATGGTAAGGGCTCACTTTTTTTGTGTCGTTTCCGTTTTATTGAAGTATTATCGCTATTTTTGCAGGACGGATAATTATGAATTGCTGGCTTCTGAAATCCAGGATAAGGACGCAAAACAAGTCAAAGAGTATTATGTCTATTTCAAGAAACATTGGAAAGAGTTATCAGAGCACCCTAGGATTGCAACACGCATTGCGGAAGGCGAGGCCAAACGCAACAAGCGGTCTAATCTCGAATCTCTTCTGGCCAAGAAAATAGCCTCTGTCCACTATCCTATGCAGGAACTAGAGCTGAATTACCCTACTACAAAGGGCAAGGTGTACACTGAAGAAGAAGATAGATATCTGCTATGTCGACTGAATCACTATGGGATGCGCGCGGATGACGTATATGAGAGGATCAAGAAAGATATCACGGAATTCCCTGTATTCCGGTTTGACTGGTTCTTCAAGAGTCGGTCCCCGCAGGAGCTTCAACGAAGATGTAATACATTGCTTGGGATGATCGAGAAGGAAGCAGAGGTAAAGCAACAGGAGGAGGTCAAGGCTAAAGGTGGTGCGAGAGGAAAGGTATGTTTTTCGAGATATATGCTCGTTCACCCTGCTACAACGTGTTTTTCTTTTTCCAGAAGCGTGGCATTGATGAAGTGCAAAAGGCCGATAAAGAAAAGGGGAAAGACGAAAAGGTGTCGCGTTCGTCGTCTCCAAGCAACACGGTGCCAGCACCGAAGAAATCGCACAAGAAGAAGAAAGTTTAGGGCCTGTGCTTCTGATGATGCTGTATTCGTTTCCTTCATGCTATCCATGTATAACAGGCAAATACATACATATGTAGAGTATTATCCTTGATTTAATTCATCCCGAGGTGGGCAAATCATGCAACAGGCGTGAGATTAATGGCAATTTATGTATATACCGCTCGGACGCCCACTCTAAGTAAATACAACATTGATAGCCTTCGAGAAAGAGAGAATGTCATTGGATTGTGTATGAATACTTGTATGGTGTATGGTGCGTGTCATGGACGGTGGACCCCTCAGTCGACCTTTACATAGCGAGCGTCTTTTCCTTTGGTCTGGGCTGATCCTGATTTCTTACTAGCGATGTAATGCTGTCGCTTTTCGAGATCTAACGTGTGTTTGGCTCAATGTGAGAATCTGGCGCAAAGGACAGGGGTAACCTACCATGTGCCCACATTGCAGCACCTATGCGATTGGAGACGGTGAAAATGAGACCAACTATGGGGATGTCCTCCAATAGTGCAGCCGCAAACCCGAAAACTACAACACGATACTTTTCAGACATTGGTTAGGACGTAGAACAAACTGCTTACACCAGTAATCCCATTTACGTTCCTCGATGAAAACAGCCGTTTGCTGCGTGGTCATTTTCTTGGATTCGAAGTACTGCAACACTCATGAATATGTGACCTCGTTTAACAGCCTGTCGCAGTACGAACCGGTTTGTGCAAGTATTCAGCAGTGCTCATGGCTTTGAACCAAGCCGAGATTATCGTTCCGAAGAACGGATAGAGCGACAGGGGTAACAGTAAAACTTGATTATACAAAATTGGTCAGTTCGAATGACATTTTTTCACGGAATAAATTACTGTGCACCTTTGTGAATGATAAACCGTGCGATCCATGTCTTGAACATCCTTTGAATGCGTCCACGTGCACGTTGGTCGACAAACGGAGGGAACTCCCATTCCTCAACGTAGGGTTGCCAGAATTCGGGGCCCTTCCCTCTGGAGGCGACGGTTTGGTCCCAAACGCGCTGTCGCGCTACACGGATATTACGAGATAGGAAGAAGTTGAGTACCGAGGTCAGCTGTGTGCCTAGAAATAGCACCGTGACATCTGCATGACCACAAAAAACGATAAGACTATATAAATAACACAGCGTGCAAGGGACTGACAAGTAGATATATTGAATGGGAGGTGAAAACCCAGGATGGATTCATGTGATAACTCGTCTGCAGTCTGCGAGAGCTGGGTGAGGTAACTGAAGGAGAAGATGGATGACGGGTTGCTGAGAGCTGCTTTGATTATTCTCTTTTGAATCCCATATGTCAACAGCGTCTGCAAGCACGGCAAACGAGTTAGGGGGGAATAAAATTTGTCTGGACTAAATGACGCACCCAGACGAATCCGACTATCAGACCTCTACTTGCACCATGTCGACATTTATCCCATGCAGGGGCATAAAGAGATTTATCCGTAAACAATCTGTAGACGCCAACGACCACGTATGCTGGAGGAAAGCGAAGGCGCAGCGAGGCCCGAGCTAGAGCAGGAGGAATGTGCTCGGATGGTGGAAGCTGACCACCAAACTGGCCTTTATCTGAGGCTACGGACATGGCAGACAAATATGAAGAAGCCTTGAATGGAAAGCTGTTTTACAATCGCAAAAGGCGTTTGAACTTGAATGAAAGAAACAGAGATGCGGCAGAGCAAAGAATGCATGCATCATTCAGGCTGCCATCATGGGCTGTGCCGCTCGGCTACCAGTCGCGCGAGCCCCTCTCTTGTACTAACTTGTACTTGAATTCTACTGCGGTTACTAGTATGACAGACTTCAGTGCTGTTCCCCAAGCCAACGCCATTTCTCAAGCTGCTCAGCTCGAGGTCCTCGACGCTAACGGAAATTCAGTTCGATTCGGGTCCTTGTTTGAAGACACCACCACCATCGTTGTCTTCATTCGTTCGTCGTCTTCTCTTTCGTCTTGAACGCGGCTGACAGAAGCTCATTTATCATTGATAGGTCACTTTTTTTGCGGCGTATGTTAGTATTACTTGCACAGTAATCGCAGTGATTAATCTTCATAACAGAGCTGCCAGGTTCGTCGATCCGAAGTCAAGGGGGTGGTGGGATCATTGTTTAGCGCCATTGAAATCCTAGGACTATGTCGTGCAGCTGGCCTCCGTTCAGCCTGAGGTTCTGAAAGCTGGAAAGAAGGTCGTAGTCATAGGTTGTGGTGACTGGCAACCGATTCAATTCTATGCAGGTGTGGGGTATTCTATAGCAGCTTGGCGCGTATCCAAAGTGACCACTGTCATTTCACAGAGACGACAGGATTCCAAGGTCCCATATTTGCCGACCCTACTCGAAAACTATATGTGACCCTTGGTATGACTATTGAAAATCTCCAAGGAACACCAGCAGGGGAGAAGCGTCGTAGCTATCTGCAACGCGGAGACATCTCTAATGCTCTTGCCAGCATATGGGTATTCACACACGTCCTTGTTTCGTATACCATTTCCCCACTGATCGTGCTTGCAGAGAGGACCATTGAAGAAACCTACGTTAATGGGCAAACAAGGAAACATCTCTCAACTAGGAGGTGAATTCATTTTTGGACCTGGTAGGGGCTCACGTTTTTATTAGCTAAGGACAGGACGCTGACAACCATCTAATAGGCCAGCAGTGCTCTTTTGCTGCCCGTATGCGACACACCCAGGATCGTAAGTGCTTCCAACAGTAGAATCGCGAGTGCCCAGGTACAAGGACTAATACCCACTTACCTTCTCAGATGTGGAAATTTCAGACCTTATGAAAGCTGCAGGTTTAGAGCTGTAAATAGGTCTATTGAATCGAAGATGGATACTGGATTAGCCGGACGTCAGTTTTACAATAGCAATTAGGACTTGACATTTCTTATGATTCATAAACTTGCTCAAAGTGGCCATGTTGATGCCGAAACAGAATAAATTATAGCAATTGTACAGTATGACCCACAGTAACAAATATAGTGAACTATACCGCCAAGTTCAAACAAAATACAGTCTATCTACCAGTGAGCCGGATCTCCAACCATCGTAAAGGAGGATATGTCACAGCTGCAAACCCCGCTGCCAGCTAGGGGAAAAAATTGAGTGCCATTGATAGTAATCAGAAACAACTCCCTACCTCGAAACCCAAGTCAGCGCCGTATATAGCGCCACCTGCCATTTTCCCCAGAGGTCCAGTATACCAAGCCTACAAGCGAAGCATTGTAAGCGAGTGCAACGGTGATAGAACAAAAGTCTTACTTCTGACATCCCAACAACAGCGCCAGCCACGCCAAAGCAGCCTGCCAAGATACCTGCGACACCCAAAGGAAGACTATGCCAAGAAAGAGTTGTGAGGAGCAAGGTATGTATCAATGTGATCACCACTTACCGAGAAGGCGAATCATAATCATCCAAGTTATACCCTCCCAACGGACCATTTTTCCGCCGGAAAATGAAATGCTCTTCAGCAACGATGACGATAAAGAATGCCGTCCAGTAGCTGAGAATACTCAAGAAATTCGACAAAATCGCCGAGAAATGGTCACGGCCTGCAACACCTGCGACAGTATAGATAACGAAAGCAAGGAATGTCCAGAAAAAACGGGGAATGAGCGCAAAGGGACGGCCAAGTGCTTGCATTGAGAGTCCCGCTGAATAAGTGTTTGGAATATTATTCCCGCTGAGACAGAGGTCAGAGAATGTTGAGGGTTCGGCGGTGATGATCTTACATTACAGAGAAGGCAAGCAGGAAGAGAATAAACCGTCCCCCACGGCCCCACGGCGATAGGACCTGGCCAATGAGACCTCCGGTACTTCCATCGGCATAGGCTTGGACGTATACCGGGTCTGTAATAGTCATAAGGGCCGCACCGAGGGTGACAACAAAGCTGATCGGAAGCCACAACCCAAAGAATGTCAGTACAAAGACCCTCATGGGAGGTGTGTTAGCAGGAAGACGGCAATTGTAGTCTGCGGCCACGGGGGCCCACTGTTGCGTTGCGATGATTTAGCGTCAGGGCGATAGATCAGGTAGATCACATACACCAGTAAATGAGCCAAAAACAATTCCGCCGAAGCTCATGACGTCTGCAGATAACGCCCGACCTGTGTCCTCCAGTGGTTTTTGTGCGTTGATATCGAAACCAGCTTTTCCGCCAAGGCCCCATAGGAAAAGCATGATAAGCAATGTCACCATCCAAGCGTAACGCTCGTAAATATGTACGACGTTGTACCCGATGAAGCAAGGAATCAAACAGCAGACACCGATAATGATGATGCCCACGACGAGAGGGAGGGTGCCTGGATTAATGTTGGCGAGGGTCTGGCCACCTAGGATGACGGCTGTCACTGAAAAACCAAGCCTAGGGAACATAAGTACCGAATTATTTTGAGTCGGAAGCTCACACGTACTGCGTAAGGATATTGAGAATAGAGTAGATGGTGCCGCCCACGTAGCCAGAACTAAAACGCGTGATGATCATGGTACGGAGGCCGGTGATTGGTCCCAAGGTCGCGATAAAAGCAGTTGCGACACCGCCCAAAGCGCCGAAACAGAATATCGTCGCGATGGCATGGCTAAGAGGGCCACACGGTCAGCTCGTGATAAAGTCTAAATAAACGTGACTGACGGTAAGGTCAAGGAAAATGCAGCTTGACCTAGAACGCCGACAGGAATCGTTGTTAGAACCATATTTACGGACCTAATATCTAAGTTAAAGAAATAAGCAAAGCGCCGGGAGTGAAGCGACTTACCACCACATGAGCAGACTGAATAACACGTTAGCTACGATTTGCGAGGGCAATCAAACATGATAACAGACTTATTCCATATGTTCTTAACCTCCCGCTGATCCTCTGGTACTCGCTCGACACCTCTAGCTTCGACTCCACTGGCAAAAAGCTTCGATAGCAAAGGACCTAAAGCACCATAACGCTTTGCGATGACGCGGTCGGGTGTACCCTCAGCGGCTTCAACCTCGTAAACATCTGGCTCTGAAGGGGTGACATTTTTCTCCTTGTCCTCTAGAGAATAATCCTGGCTGCCAGGCATTAGGGAGCTGTCGAGGGTGTTGAACCGACTACGACGGGAGTAAAGGGTAGAAGTTGAATATTTGAATGCTATGAAAGTAATTTCACATTTTTGGACGAGCTCCGGAGCAAAGCACAAGGTCACCGGACCAGATAGCGATAAGTATTAGCTTTTTTCGACCCGATTCTTTGATGCGCCATATGAATTTTAGCTATTTTCTCACCCGTCCGGGAGGGCATCCACTAACAAGGCTGAAAGTCGGTCGGCGCCGCCGGCGAGCCGACTACTCCGAGTAACCTTATCACATAGCGAGCGAATAGATTGCGAATAGTGATCTGCACACGCTTCTGATCTTTTTGCAACCTCCACCCGACGCCGCGACGCCGTGACCATCAACCATCGAATGGCCTGCATGTTTCATACAAGTTGCTCGAACGTTCAATACTGTCTGTTAAGCCTCATCCAATGAACACTATCCGTTATCGGTTCGAGAGTTGGCGTGAATCTTGGTCTTGCATCCTCTCGCTACCAATATTTCCAGTCCAAGATATATTGCAACAGGGTTGGGTGGTCATGCCAGTCAAACGCACAGTCTCTATTGGTTTGTACTCTACTTCATTGGGTTTCATTTGGCACCTCCTAGTTATTAGATGGGTTCACTCACCGAGGTACGTTTCCAAAAAAATTTTACATCTCGCCCATACAATGACATCCTTACATGCACTTCCTTAAGGTATAGCTGTCTATTAAGCTTTTGATATCCTGATACATGAATCCAATGGAAATTATCTTGCTGTGAAACGTGTGTTATGTGTGGAATTGCAGCATATGCTGTGTTTCGCCAAGAGCTGGACCGGATATCATCAACTTGAAGGGTCTATTCAATTGAGGTGCCATCATGCTAGTCGAATGATAATTTATGTATACGCTCTCCTGAAATGCTTGCTCGTAAATTTATGCTCCACAACTCTATGTGACTCGATTTTTACTTTGAGACTGGGTAAAGTATATATGGTATTCATTTCCCACGCCCGATTTTGCATTGAGGCCTGTGCTGTCTGTACACGACGAAGCACACTATAATATCGAGCTCGCCAGTCGTCGTGTCCATCCACATCAATCATGTCGACAGAGGCGCCATGCTACACCGTCGTATTTGAAGACAGCTCAGAGTCTCCTTCAACACAGGAGCTACGGGCTTCTCTGGAGAAAGGTTCAGACGAAGACAAAATCGACACGTTGCGTAGAATCATAGTTGCGACAATCAATGGAAACCCACAGGTGCGCTGACAAGTCTTGTAGTTATCATCCGTTTGTTTAATGGATCTCACACAACATGCTAGCCAACGCTCTTGATGCCAATCATACAATATGTCTTGCCCTCACGAAATAAAGCGCTGAAGAAACTACTACACTTCTACTGGGAAGTTTGTCCAAAGTATGATGACAACGGCAAACTGAAGCAGGAAATGATTTTGGTCGTGTAAGACATACTATATGCTGCTATCCAACGACTAACTGACTATTCCCTAAAGTAATGCCATCCGAAACGATCTCGTAAGTACCTCTACAAAACCCTAAGCTGTTTATTATATGCCCTTTCCTTTCAAGCAACACCCGAACGAATATATTCGTGGCGCGACGCTACGTTTCCTCCAGAAAATCTCCAAAGACGCCGAACTACTCGAACCACTCGTACCCATCTGTCGATCGTGCCTAGAGCACCGACATTCGTACGTCCGAAAAAATGCTGTCTTCGCCGTGTACACTATCTATCGAGAATTCGAAAACCTCATCCCCGATGCCCCCGAACTCATGCAGACCTTCCTAGCTGCTGAATCTGATGCGACATGCAAGCGTAATGCTTTCGTCTTCTTGGCCCAGTGTGCGATGCCCAAGGCTGTCGAATGGATGGTGAGCGTATACGATCAGATCTCAGGCCTCGATGAGTTGCTGCAGATGAGCATTATCGAGGTCATTCGTCTGGACTGTAAAAGTGATTCGACTCATAGGGTAAGTCAGTTTGTAGTATATGGAGTCGTTGGCTGATTGTTTGTGGTATAGTCTCGGTATATTCGTTGTATTTTTGAACTCTTGAACGCTTCATCGCACGCCGTCAAATATGAAGCAGCCACGACACTTACTACCCTCACGCAAAACCCTGCCGCAGTTAAAGGCAAGGCATATCTTTTTACTTATATGTGCTGTGTAATTAACTTCACATGTCAGCTGCTGCATCCTGTTTCGTCAATCTTGTGATCAAGGAGTCGGACAACAACGTGAAACTCATTGTTTTGGACCGCCTTGATGTTTTACGGTCGAAACATGGTCATGTCTTGGATGGTCTTATCATGGATGTACTCCAAGTTTTGTCCAGGTTAGTTCAGGTTATATTTCTAACCTAATTTACACACTCTAACGTTTCTAACTTTTCTATCGAAGTGCTGATATGGAAGTTCGTCGCAAAGCAATGAGCATCGTCTTGAGCATGACATCAAGTCGTAACGTTGAAGAGGTCGTTCTCTTCCTCAAGAAACAGCTTCAAAAGACCCAAGAACAGGAATACGAAAAAGTAAACACTCTTTCTTCCTCATTCTACCATTGCTGATTTTGTTCTGTTTTAGGCCCCAGAGTACAGGCAGTTACTGGTCCAATCTATTCATGTCATGGCAATTAGATTCTCTGAAGTCGCCGCAAGTGTGGTCCACGCATTAATGGAGTTCTTGGGCGATTCAAACAACCCATCTGCTCTAGATGTTGTTGCCTTCGTTCGGTATGTTTTTAATTTCTTAAAGCGTTGCCACGTGATCATGATGGTTGTGATTTTGTAGCGAGGTTGTCGAAAAGTTCCCTAATCTCCGCCAGACAATTTGTGACAAGCTCGTTCAAACTCTCAGCGAGATAAAATCAGGCAAAGTTTTCCGCGGGGTCTTGTGGATACTGGGAGAGTATGTGGAGGGTCTCGCAGATATACAGAGCACGTTACAGGAGTTAAGGAAGGTCTTAGGAGAGATACCAATATTGGCGTCGGAGCAGAGGTTGTTGGATGAAGCCGGTGGTGAGGGCGATGATGACGATGCAAAGAAGGAAGACAAACCAAAGGCGGAGAGCAGCGGACGTCCACGGGTACTCGCTGACGGTACATACGCTACAGAAACCGCCTACACGAGTACTAGTACTGCCAGGTTGGAGGCCGTGAAAGCCGCGGCCAAGCCACCACTCAGAGGTGAGCAGTGCCCAGAAATATTCTGTTCCTATTTTTTCATGCAAGTCATTAACGTGGTATTGGTCTGTAGCTTTGATACTAGGGGGAGATTTCTTCACGGGAGCTGTATTGGCTGCCGCCCTGACAAAACTTGTTCTGAGATTCGACGGGTTGACAAGCGACCGTACCAAGTCTAATACACTCAGAGCCGAGGTTGGTTTTGTTTTAGCTGTGGTCGTAACAGTTGCTGACAGACTATGCAGGCTATGTTGATAATGACCTCAACGATTCGTGTGGGGCAATCTAAATTTGTCACAGTCCCGATAGACGAAGACTCGAATGAGCGTATCCTCAGTTGCATCCAGACGTTGAGTGAACTACAAGAGAAACCGGCCGTGCAGGATATTTTCTTGAAGGACACGAAGGCTGCATATTCGAAGATGTTGGGTGCTCAAGAGGTGGGTTCTTGTCATACCATTTTTCATGGAGCACATGTATAATTAGGCTTCATACAGAAAAAGGCAGCAGAAAAGAAAGAGGTCGAAACTACGAAGACAGCTGCTGTTCAAGTCGATGATCTTCTAACATTCCGCCAATTTTCTAGAAAGTCGGCAGATGACCCTATCGATGTGAGGAACATGTAGCTGTTTTCTTTACTATTTCTCATCATCGCTTGCACCTAGTATGACGAAGACCTCGGAAGAGCGACTGGGGCTGGAGAAGTTCGCGAAGACTTTATTTCTAATCTTAGTCGAATCTCACAGCTTACTGGTAAATCAGCGATTGATATGTGTATCTTGATGTCTAATCTGTCAAACAGGTTTCTCCGACCCTATATATGCAGAAGCATATGTCAAGATGCACGGCTTCGATATACTACTTGGTAAGGGAGATTAATTGATTCCTTGATTATCTTTACTGAGTTGGGTCGGAAGATGTCCTCCTGGTAAATCAAACACCGAACACGCTGCAGAATCTCTGCCTCGACTTTGCGACTTTGGGTGATCTGAAACTAGTAGAGAGGCCAGCTGTTTACACGATCGCTCCTCATGGCTTCCAGAGCATTAAAGCGACCATTAAGGTAAATAATTTTATTTCGTGCATTGTCCAGCTCTTTTTGAACTTATGGGATCTCTAGGTATCCTCTACGGAGACTGGCGTCATCTTTGGGAGCATCCTTTGGGAAGGTCCTGCTTTGGCTGAGTCCTGCGTTATACTGAATGATATCCACATCGACATCATGGATTACATTAAACCAGCTTACTGCAACGAAGCTCAGGTGACTTTCATATCATTTCTTCCTGGCGTATCCCCTCATCATATTCTTTATAGTTCCGTAGCATGTGGACAGAGTTTGAATGGGAGAACAGGGTCAATGTATCCACAGTCATGTCGTAAGTAATCGCCACGCGTCACACTATGGCTTTGCTGATACTCTGTAACAGTGATCCCCGGGAATACCTCAAGCATGTCATGAAGTCGACGAATATGTCATGTCTAACACCAGAGGGAGCAATGTCTGGAGATTGTGATTTCTTGTCAGCTAACATGTACGCGCGAAGCTTGTTCGGTACGTTTTCATGGTTGCATTCTTTAGTTTGCTTTTCTTTGCTCACGATGTCATAGGCGAGGATGCTCTTGCGAACTTGAGCATCGAGAAAACTGAGGCTGGAACAATCATTGGTCATGTCCGTATCCGTAGTAAGACTCAGGGTATCGCACTATCGCTAGGCGATCGTATTACAATGGGTATGTAGTGGATTGATTCACTTGAAATCATCCAAGATTTGCTTACTGTATCACGTCACTAGCTCAAAAGGATAATAAACCACCTGTCTAGACCACGAAGGGCTTTTATTTTCTCTCATACCTATACAATATGGTTCCAGGACTACATCCGAAAGTATATCATCGTGTTAGGCTATTACAATCGAAACCCTGGTTGTAATCTTGGACTCGTGGTATCTAGAGGGGGGACCCTTGCAAACGACTTAATACACGTTTCTTTGACCTGCGCCCCAAGTTCATGTGTTATAGCTTGTGAAATAAATCACGTCCCATCATGATGTTGATGCAACGAATAAGCTGCACTATACAGAATGTAGGTATGTGTTCCCACTCCCCGCCTTAGTGATGTCACAATGTAACAAAGTCATCATATCAGGTTGATCATCATGATTGTGACTGAACTGTGTCTTTTCCAAGTCCCCGCTACTTCCAACCGCTATTGAGTTACTCACACAGCGAGCATAGGACGGATACTCCACTGGCAGTGCCATGAGTTGGATCGACTTATAGTTGTCTGCGTAGCAGGGGATTAGGCTTGCTTTAAAAAAGTATACAGCGGGTGTCCTGCCAGTGCATCCCGAGAACAGAACTATATTGTGGTGCTCACTGCAGTATAGCCCGATCTAAGCTCCATAGAAGTATTGCGTAAGTTAATGATATCAGCATCTCACCGGTATGATATGTCAACAAAGGATGTTCTTGTGGTGAGTCTGTGCTTCTAATCTTGATGAAAGATGAAAAAGCGTCTTATGGATCAGACATCTTGCACTGGTTGGCATTGACAAGGGTCCTAAACCAAAATCAGTATCACAGCTCACGACGTTTCTGACGTGGACCATCTTGTCTCAGTCATCAGTGTGGTCACAATGGAAGGTTATGAAGTAGCCCTTTTCGGTCGTGGAGCGCCTACCAAGGTTGAAAAAGAAAAGTTGTTACTTACCATCTCCAACCATCTCCGACCTAGTATAATATGGACCTTTCATACGAGTCTTTCAACGCCGATACTGCTAGGAATCTCCTAATAGCGAATGTAAGCCACCCATCCCAACTCTGAGTCGCAAAACTAACATTCTTACGCCCTTAGTATATCAATGGTATGTATCCATTCTTCATGAATCTATCTTTGTATGTTATTAAAATTCACAACGATGAAGTATCGAGCATTACAGTCTTGGTCCGTGTTCCAATCATATCTTTCACTGCGTGGAAGCTTACGATCACTTCCTGGTAGATATATGATTATTGCATCCAATTTGGAGATGAAGTATGTCCCGCGTCACTTTCCGATTGACTATCCATTTACGAAAAATCGCCAGTTCACATACATCTGCGCCATGAAATGGGGGAAAATGAAAGTCTTTTATTCACTGGCTCGCTACTTACCATTTGCTATGTTGGGTTTGCGTTGCTACGGTGAGCTCAATGCTTATGTAACTTTGCTTCAATATCTCATCTATAGGCTCTCATCAGCCGCAGTTAATACTTCTTTAAGCTACGATGTACGATCAGCAATCTCTTCCGAAATATATTATCTGAGGAAATGAATGCTATTTACAGCTGTGCACGCTGTTTTATGGGATGAATGCATGTAAGCTGTCATAGCCATAAAGTGATAGTTAATCAATGACTTTATCCCTGTTTAACAGGGCTGCAAACAATATCATTCTTATTCGCTGAATGTGCAGTTGTTTATGTCAGATCATCAGGACTATCGCTGATTGGATCACAGTGATCTTCGTGTTGCGAACATATGCGATTTGGGGACATAATAAAAGAGTATTGGTAATACTACTAGGCAGTATATTTGTGGGTTGAATTTATTTTCCTTATTTGATGATTGCCCAACACTTCTACCCAGGGTACCTTTGTCGGAATCATCGTCTTAATCACGACGGTTAGGAACGACTTCATCTGTACATCTCTCTTCTTACCCATATTTTCTCGTTCTGATTCACAAATAATTTAGCCAGCCCATCCCCCGCGCCAATGATTACACCGTGCTACGAAGATACACAATATGATGTTATATCTGTAGCATACGTGCTTTTATTTCTTTTGGAGCTAGGTTAGTTGATACGTTATCGCCCTCTGTTTCATTTGCTGATGGGTCCTGGAAGAGATATTACTTTTCACTCTTTATCGCGCGCTTAAGCACTACCGATTCATGCGTAGTAGTCAGTTACTGCAAGTTTGTATTCAGCATAATATCTTCTATTTCGCTTGCGGCTCTGGTGAGTGAAGGTTATAGAAGAAAAAATAAATTGATGTTTGTTCTTCTGAAACATTATTTTAGCCTTCTCTGTTGCCAATATAATAATTACATTTTTATGCAAGGTATGCATACAGCAAGGGCCACCTATCCTTGACTCATCGTTATTTTTGCAGCCCACATACAATGATTATCTCTTTTCAAAGTATGATCTTTCATTGCTTTGAATGAAATTAGAGTTAATATTGATATTTACTAATTAGTATACAAGCAGCTGCGCATGCAATGCTTGTGGCAAGGATGCAAATCAATCTATGGAAAAGGGATCAAGCCAACAGTGAAGCTTCCTCAGAGCCGCTCTCCATAGGTCAACTGGATTTCGCTCGTTCCTTGCAGACTACATCCGCCTCTATCACAAATTTGTGAGATTTTATGCAGTGCCTTGATAGATAACTTTGAAAATCGCCGGTAGCCGTTGTAGTATTACAATTTACATATTTATTCTAGGGGTCTCCTTCGAAGTCAGCCTTTGAACACCAAAATAGTTAGATTTACCAATGTAAATTTGAAATTCTAGCTCGTCGATTATAGCCGGATTCCTGGGCACTTGAACAGAAATTTCAGGGCTTGTGAAAGTGAATTTGCAGTATGGTACAGTTGTGTAGATGTGTGTGAGATAATGATCACTATATGCTCTTCTGTAAATCCTACTTTGCACCAGCAGGCATTGTCGGCAATAATCTAGTCCAATATACAGGCATCGCCCAAGTAAACAGCCGACCGAAGTATACCATCGAATAGGTGGCGAGACTGTATGGCTTTGACAGGTACAGTGGTGGAAGGATGGGAGAGATTACAGCTGACTACAGCCTGGGGCTTGTGAGGAGCTGAGTCAAAGGACATTTTCTGATGGAAATATGATGCCGCGAGAACTCGCTGTCTTGCGAAAACCGGGTTATTAAGGGAATGAGTCAGAGCATAATAAATGAATGAAGACAGACTGGGATGAACAGATTTGGTGTTACAGCTACTGCCTGTGATTTTCTGGAAGAAGATCAGTGCAAAGCATGTGTCTGTTAAATGGCTTCAAAAGAAAGAGATTAATTCAAAAGTTCTGGTGGCAATTACGGGTCAAAGCTGCATGTCGGATATGTGAGGCAACGATAAACTATAACAAAAACTAAACCTATCTCCTTCTGCACTTGCAGGGAGTAAGGGTTCAATGAGCTTGAGGTCGACAGACGCTAGCAAATATAGCGAGTAGAGGACTTTGAGAGGTAAGCTTCAAAGGTTCTTGTTGAGGAGTAAAGCGGGTAAATTCAGTAATAGAAAGCTAAGGAGCTACACATGAATAGGTACGGCTTTATATAGGGAACTGTCCGTTCCTCAGACCGAAAAGAGAATATACGAAAAGTGGTCTGAGGAATTAATCAACCAATAAGAAAAAGGGGAAGTAACTATCGTACGACTTCTGACTTGATTAATCAGCAGGTGAGAGACTTGTACTAATAATAGAAGATTGTCACGCGTGGTCAGGAACCGTATCCTCATGATGAGGTACGATTCTAGATAAGGCGTTATTAGTATTACCAGGCTTTACTGGGGCTTGGAGCTGGTTGGCGAGATGCCTACTACCAGTCCCTACCCAGTGTGCTGGCTAGCTGGGAGCGATGCCCAGTCTCTGATCTGTGATATAAAGTGGTAGCGATGGTTAAGAAAGCCTGTGAGGGCTATGAGAAGTAAGATGGCAAAGGATACCTCTAGCCCTAGAGCCAGAGGTGTAACGGGAAAAGCGTTCGAGAACCAAGACATAACGAAGATAAGAAAATAATAAAACGGTCCTTACAGGATAGAGTTGATGATCTGTTTCTGTCTTTCTTGACAAAACCGGATAAACCCGGTCTCTGCCAAAGCAGCCATTGTTCTCCATGTAGCATAGCCACCACTCCATGGAGTAACCATTGTTCTCCTAGGAGTCATTATACTGTAGCGAGTAGCACCTCCGACTATAAGTAGTAGGGGGTTTAGTATAGGAATACCTCAGTCGTTTCTATAGCCTCTCAGGCAGTGGCTGAGGTATGTTACATTACATTTATTAGAGATCACCTTAAACTAACATCTATTGTAGTTTCACTTAGGTAAATAATATAAGTCGTTTCTATAGCCTCTCGGGCAGCGGCTGAGTCTCACTTAGTTTTATTAGGTTATGAGCCCTGGTGCGCAAAAGCTACACAGGAAATAATTCTTATTTGAAACGGCAACCTCAGAACCATGACCACAGCACACGATACATCTGCATGTCCAGTTCTCACTGGACCCAACAATTTTCAAATATGGAAACTCCGGATCATCTCAAAGCTACGTCGGGAAAAAGTTCTCCGGGTTGTTACTGGAGAGGAGCTTAAGCCCTCACCAGGAAAACCTACCTCCTCGGAGGATCCTGAGATCACCTGGATACTTAAGGATGAGAAGGCACATGGAATCATCCAGGACCACATCTCTGATGCCCTCCTAATGAGGACTGGAGACCTCACCAGCTCCAAGGAGTTATTTGATAAACTTGTCTCACTCCATCAGACGTCCAACATTGCCTCGGCCTTCTATTCATTCCAGCAACTCACCAAATTGTCCTGGGATTGGACATCACCTATCCAGGATCACATTGCAAAAATCCGGACAATTGATTCACACCTCTCCGGAATGAAACTAGGAGTTGATACCAAACTCATGGCCTTCACTCTTCTCCAATCTCTCCCATGCACTCCTGAATGGCAAATATTTCAGTCATCAGTAATCAACACGATTGAAGAAAATAAACTTACCTTTGATGCAGTTGAGATCCGGATCACTGCAGAAGTTGCACGACAGTCAGGGAAGGCCCCTGGAGGTTCCGAAACAGCACTCAAATCCGAGGAGAAGTGGTGTGACTTCCACAAAGCCAAAACACACAACACCTTGGAGTGTCAAACACTTCAGTCAGCCGGAAAAGGTCAAAGGAAGAAGGAAAAGGCAAATACGGTGGAGCAATCATCTGGATCTGACTCCGAGGAGGAACAGAGTCACATTGCATTGGAACATGTACATATTTCCAAGCCCCTTGCTAAACACATTCAAGCTTACCTTGTGTCGGAACCCGATAAGACCAAAACAACAATTATTATTGACTCCAGAGCAACATCCCACATGGTCCCTCACCGCTCCTGGTTTGAGCCAGGAACATACCATGTTCTGCATCCTCCGAGGACAATCAGTTTTGGGGATGAATCCTCTGTAAATGCCATTGGCATTGGAACAGTAATCCTACAAGCAACTGTTGGCAAAAAGGACTACAATATTGCACTGTCAAATGTCTTACTTGTGCTAAACTTCACGTTAGCACTCGTCTCTGTCCACAAATTGTCCAAAACGGGGTTATCAACACTTTTTCCAGCAGGGTCAAATGCTTGTGAAGTTCGGAAAAAGGAGGAACTTATCCTCACTGCGTTACACAAGCAAGGACTTTATCACATCCAAGCAAAACCTGAAATCAACCCGGAGTCAGCTTTTGCAGCAGTAGATGTAAATTTATTGCACAGGAGAATGGGACACATTGGAATGGACCGCTTGCAATAAATGGTTACAAAAAGACAGCTCCAGGACATAGATACCCTTACCGGAACCCGGGAGTTTTGTGAACCTTGTGACAAATGTTTATAGTATGAGAAAACATGCATTGGCCAGGGCTTGAACCTGGGACTCCAGCTTTCATGGTCTGGTGCTTTACCAACTAAGCTACCAAGGCGTACTTGGAAAGCATACTGATTGGTTGCATGCCCAGAAGGTCCAGAATCACTGTACACGGGTGCGGATCCCATTGTGTTGTGATATGCACCTAATATACCACATCAGAAAACTTTTGGTCCCGTCTTCACTTAGGGCTTGTACGGGAACCTTTTTCTTCTTATTTTTTTGCATCGTTCTTTTCGGCAAAGACCTTGCCATTCCAGCGTTGTGCTACCCAGTGTTTTCGAAGCTTGGATATGGACACACCACAAGCATCTAGCACATCCTGTGCAGCCAAACCTTGTTCGTCTATACCTTGTTTGAGACGCCACTTGAGCCAGGTTCCTAAATTGTTTCGCATATCTTGTCCAATCGCTGCAGCTTGACAATCAATCAGCCAGAGTCGTTGTTGCCGCTGGACGGTGATGGTTATTCTTGTATCTGATTGTAGACTTGGCATCAATCACGCACCGATGAAGATTGCTGAATCCCTATAAGTCTGATGAACCTGGACCAGAGCCTCTCAGTCCCTTCGCCATCAGAGAGGCTGAGTCCATTAGCCATTCGAGGGTTATAAACGAGCTGGCAAGCCCATTCATGACCATACACATGCATTGCAGTAGTTGTGAACCGCAGACATGATACAATACTGTCTGGAAGAATGTCATACTACAAATGTTAAAGTAGTGTGAATAAATAAAGAAGAAAAAACTTACTTGTGCTAGTGAGCAAGACAAAACGCACCCAACATCATACAGAAGAATCACATTGGTTTGAAGTGGTAGTAATGAATACAAATGTTGAATGAGTGCTACAGCATATTTCTGCTGTTCACCGGGAGTGTCAATATTGGCAAAAAAAGGGGGAATATCATGGTGGCAGATAAGTGCCATCACTCCTGTATCGTCAAAGCTATCCATCGTGGCTTTTTGTTTCTTACCATCCGCAGCTTGGTATGAGCTCTGGTAATGGTCAATGGCTTCATCAGGCACCAGGCCTTTGACTACCCTAGGTATCTGCTTTCGGACCTTGTTAATTTGACAGCCAACAGCATCGACTTCCAACTTCGGGAGAAAATATGCAGGTTCATAAAACTTCGGGCAGTCTCCTGCAGAGTGTCTATGGTGATGATGGAAATTGCCATCAGTAGTGATGTGGATATCACCACCTTCATCTAGAGGCCTCCCAAAGACAGTACCTCCGAAGCAAGCAGGGCAGCGTTGGATGAGAATAGAGGCATAATGTCCTGTTGTCAAAGGCTCCAAGATAGTCGGGGGAAGTGCAATTGGGGATATGGGGGTGGAAGTACTGGGGGATGTCGGTGAAAAGGGAGCGGGAGTCAAAGGCTCTTGCATGGCTCCCCGAGGCTCTTGAGGAGCTAACACAAGGTCTCGACAGTGCTGAACCGCAGCCTCCACTTGACGTTCAACTTCGACTTGTAGAATGTCATACTACTGGACAGCATGTCCAAGGCCACGCCTAAAAGGCTCTTGAATGGCTTCGCCCTGCAAAACAATGGTTCTAGCATTTTTATAGGCAGAATTGCATAGTGTACATACCTCTGCGTTGGTCATTCTGAAGCCTCTATGTATGTAATGAGTTACCAAAGCAGCAGCAAGAGCATTGATGGTGTCACATGAACGCTCAAAGAGGGCCCGATAGAATGCCAATAAGTCAATTGAGATGGCCATGCGCGGCTGTGATGGTGCTGTGGGAAACAATCCGTGATGTACGAGGACTTGAGGGAGGCTTGAACACGGACAGCTTAAAATGTCCAACAACTGAAAATCTGGGTTTTGCGATAGCAAGTCACATGGCATTGTCAAATATAAACATGTACAACCGAAAAAAAGACATAGAATCGATGTTTGCTTGTAAACACAATTGCTATTGGTGCATACTGACAGCGACTTGCCTGATACCGTCAACGGCTTACCTAGCGTTTTTGCGCTGTATGCATTTTGTGGTGTTATTAATTGGGGCAACAAGGCTTTCTAACTGGCAAAAAGTTGGTTTGTGGATGTGTCAGGAAGGATGCGATGTTTGGAGTGTTGTGGTTCAGACGCGCCATCAAGCTTGGGAATTGTGGTGTCGTTGTTGTCAGAAAAGCCAGTTCTGTGCAAAGACCCTTCGGGGCCTGTCTGTTACAGTAACACAATTTTCGGACCTATAAATTTCATTCTCCTATTTAACTTTCTTCCATAGTTTTCACACACTGTTGTAAGGATCATTTTATTATTTTCTTATCTTCGTTATGTCTTGGTTCTCGAACACTTTTCCCATTACGCCTCTGGCTCTAGGGCTAGAGGTATTGTTTGCCGTTTTACTTCTCATAGCCCTCACAGGCTTTCTTAACCATCACTACCATTTTATATCACAGATCAGAGACTGGGTATCGCTCCCAGCCAGCCAGCACACTGGGTAGGGACTGGTAGTAGGCATCTCGCCAACCAGCTCCAAGCCCCAGTAAAGCCTGGTAATACTAATAACGCCTTATCTAGAATCGTACCTCATCATGAGGATACGGTTCCTGAACACGTGTGACAATCCTCTATTATTAGTACATGTCTCTCACCTGCTGATTAATCAAGTTAAAAGTCGTACGATAGTTGTTCTCTCTTTTTCTTATTGGTCGATTAATTCCTCAGACCACTTTTCGTATATTCTCCTTTCGGTCTGAGGAACGAACAGTTCACTATATAAAGCCTTACCTATTCATGTATGGCTTCTTAGTTTTCTATTACTGAATTTACCCGCTTTACTCCTCAACAAAAACCTTTGAAGCTTACCTCTCAAAGTCCTCTACTCGCTATATTTACTAGCACCTGTCGACCTCAAGCTCATCGAACCTCTTACTCCCTGCAAGTGCAGAAGGAGACAGGTTTCGTTTTTGTTATAGTTTATCGTTGCCTCACAACTGTGCCATGCGGCACTTTTCTTTTGTTCAAACTCCCTTTTCTCGCGCCACACTGCCTTTATTCTTATTTTAGCTACAAGTATCTCACACAGTGGAGCTGGTCACACAGGCTGTGCTCTCTGACATCATCAGGAACTACATTTATCAACTGTACAGTACATAAGTACAAACACTCTGTATTAGTATATCTACCCCAATAGATACAGGAGACTCCTCAGCAAGTCCTCCTGTTGTATACCAACAACTAACTCGGTCCTACCTAAGGGGTAACCACTCCCTCATCACTACCTTTATAGTTTGTCTTAGTGTGCGCCAGAGTAACTAACTCTTGGTTGTTACACTGTTGATCCTTGATGGATGGCTTCGACTGTACGATTGATGCCCGCACATTGCTGGCACTCTGGTTGTGTATGACTCAAAAGTCTCTCCATCTTCTCCAGCAACCGACAACGCTTCACTTCCTTGCCTGGGATTTCAACTAATGTTTGCGTTTTTCTTTTGTCCCGAATTTTCCTGGGGCTGACGAAATGGTGGCTGAGTCCAGAGGATGTCAGCTGGGTCCCACAAGTATGCTGTGTGAGGTTGCATGTGAAGGTGTAGCAGATAAAAAGGGGTGGAAACCTACTATTTCAGTGACTTCTGGTGCCATTCCCCAGCAGGTGGTGTACTTTGTTTTATCAATGAAGTCATTGATTGATTCATTTTGTGAACCTTTGAAAGAGAGATGTCGGCATACTCTGTATTTAGTTGGTTCTCCTGGTGCGCCATCTTTGGTAGCTACTTGGAGAGGGGACGAACAAAAGGGACCTATTTTGGATTCTAATTGAGTTTGAGAGAAAAAACCGGAGAAACGTTCAAGAAGCAGTTCATTTTGATGTAATCACGAATGATGTCTATGTGAATGTGGGTGCCTGGCAAATTATCCGGAGTGTATGTATGAGTAATAGGATCAATAGGCCCAATAGGAAAACCGTTCTGTAATTTTAGAGGGAGTTCAGGATATGAAGAAAGAAGTTTGAATTTTTTAAGAAAATTTTTGAATTGTTGAAAAGAATATGGAGTTTTGGTTTTATTAAAATCTGAATCATTGACATATGGAGTGGGTGAAATGGTGATATTGTCGTAGTATACATGATGTTTGAGAGAAGTAATAAGTACAAGAGGAGGAGAAAAAGTTTTGAAAGGGATAAGCAAATTATCATATGCACTTGCGAGAGCAAGCGGCATGATCATTTGATCCACAGAACGAGCAGATGTGTTGGTCGGGATGATTGTGGTTGCAAGGGCATTTGGGAGAGTTGAGGTTGAAAGCGACGCATATAGGAGCAGTGGTGGTGTGAGAGATGAGTTTGCCGTCGAGGGTGCACGAGAACATTTGTGAGTTCGAGGTCGTTGTTTCTTCCGTGCACTGACCTGTGAGGCAACGATAAACTATAACAAAAACTAAACCTATCTCCTTCTGCACTTGCAGGGAGTAAGGGTCCAATGAGCTTTTGAGGTCGACAGACGCTAGAAATATAGCGAGTAGAGGACTTTGAGAGGTAAGCTTCAAAGGTTCTTGTTGAGGAGTAAAGCGGGTAAATTCAGTAATAGAAAGCTAAGGAGCTATACATGAATAGGTATGGCTTTATATAGGGAACTGTCCGTGCCTCAGACCGAAAAGAGAATATACGAAAAGTGGTCTGAGGGATTAATCAACCAATAAGAAAAAGGGGAGGTAACTATCGTACGACTTCTGACTTGATTAATCAGCAGGTGAGAGACTTGTACTAATAATAGAAGATTGTCACGCGTGGTCAGGAACCGTATCCTCATAATGAGGTACGATTCCAGATAAGGCGTTATTAGTATTACCAGGCTTTACTGGGGCTTGGAGCTGGTTGGCGAGATGCCTACTATCAGTCCCTACCCAGTGTGCTGGCTAGCTGGAAGCGACGTCCAGTCTCTGATCTGTGATATAAAGTGGTAGCGATGGTTAAGAAAGCCTGTGAGGGCTATGAGAAGTAAGATGGCAAAGGATACCTCTAGCCCTAGAGCCAGAGGTGTAACGGGAAAAGCGTTTGAGAACCAAGACATAACGAAGATAGGAAAATAATAAAACGGTCCTTACATTACCCCCCCCTTTTATATTCTTGTCCCAAGAATCTAGCGCCGCAGTCCGTGAAGCGGTTTGTGATCCAGTCGAAAAGGCGGGGTTTTTCGGTTGTAGTAGTGAAATTTTCGTAAGGACGAAATCGTAAAGCGGCGGAGGCGATGACACGTGGGGCGGCAGGGTGTTTGCGGTGGAAGGTGGCAATAAGCGAGGGGGAATTTTTTAAATGGTGATCGGGTTCCCACGTCCTCTCCGTGATCGGGTATCCCTTCCAATGGACGAAGTAATCGAGCTTAGCCCCTTTGAGTTTAGTGGGCCGAGAAGCGATGATTTCTTCGGCTTCGTATTCGACTGCGCCATCAACTTGGATCGGCGGAGGTTTCGAGGTACGAGGTTGATTGGGGAACTCCGGCGTGTGATACGGTGATAAGAGGATTTCGTTGAACACAGGATGGATCGCCTTCCAGGATCTAGGGACGTCAAGGAGATAAGCGGATGGGCCGACTTTTGCTTTTACCGTAAATGGGCCAAATCGCTTGTCATCTAACTTCTTCATCGGTCGATCGGTGGAGATATGAGTTCCCTCTAACCACACCTTATCTCCTTTGTGATATTCTCGTGCTTCTGTGCGTTTCCGGTCATAGTACTTTTTGAGGTTTTGATTCGCGAGTAATAATGATTGCCGAGTTTGTTCGTGTAATTTCGCCATAGAGGTTGCGAAATCTTCGGCGGCTTGCGAGCGCCCTGAAGGCTTCTGACCGGTCCCTTTACGAGGGTGAGAACCATAATTTACAAAGAAGGGGGTCTGATTGGTCGCGGAGTGAAGATGATTGTTGTACGTGAACTCGGCAATGGCTAGCCAATCAGCCCAGTCGTCTTGTCGGTGATTAATGAACGTGCGTAGGTAATGTTCCAGGTCTTGATTGATTCGTTCGGACTGCCCGTCAGTTTGGGGATGGTAACCTGTTGACAGACCGGGTTCGATCCCAAGGGTTTGATAGAAGTCCTTGGTGAAGTTCGACATGAATTGAGGTCCTCTATCCGATATAATCTTTTCCGGGATGCCGTGTAGTCGTATAACCGAATCTCGTAGTTGTTTGGCGTAGCCTAATGAATCAAGAGTAACGTGCGTTGGTACGAAGTGAGCCATTTTCGAGAATCTGTCAACAAAAACCTGGATAGCGTCGTATCCGTTTGACTCTGGTAATGCTCCGATGAGATCCGTTGTGATTATCTGCCAAGGACGATCAGGGATCGGATTTGGATGGAGGGGAGCATGCGGTTTCTGACGATGCGACTTTGTTCTCTGACATATCTCGCATCCTGCGACATATTTCCTGATATCTCTCCTGAGGCTAGGCCACCAGAATGATCGGTTTACTCCTTCGTGCGTCTTTCTTTCTCCTGGGTGTCCGCTGAGGCTCGTGTCATGTTCTTCTTCAATAATACGTGCCCTCAACTTTGGATCTTGGGGTACGTAGATTTTGTTTTTGAAGGACCCTAACGTCAACTCGTCTTCTTTCTCATTTCCTATCCAAACGATTCCGTCTCGTTTCTTCCAAACTTTTGGATCTTCTTTCAACTTCCTTACTACGTAATCGTCTAGTTTGTGCTGCGAAGCTAGCAGCTCGTCCAGGTAGTGTTCTTCTAACACGTCCTCCATAGTATAAATGTTTGCTTCCGCGAGCTGAGGTAGAAGGACCTGTCCTTCATTGTCTCTCTCGCCTCTCGGATGGTCTACTCTTCGACTAAGTAGGTCCGCTTTCGTGTTCGCCGAGCCTTTCACATGCTCTAGCTTGAAATCGTATCTC